AGACAAATCCTTTCCCCTCTGCTCCAGAAAATTGTAGCTAAACAACAGTTGTATAAAATTATAATCAATTTATGCTGTGAACAAGTATTGAAACTGATTTCGGGTGACCTGCATAAATTAAGCAGAATTGACAAAAGTTTCAGTAAAATTTAAAAAAATCAGGTAATATGCATGCAGACATAATGGCAAAATCCTTAAAACTCACTTAATGATTGTATATTTTTTCTTTTTTTTTAAAAGGTTGATATTTTGTTCAGTAGCAAACACGTTGAACTCATGATATTAAAGATGACATCTCAGGTACAAAGCTTTTATAGCAAAACAAAACAAAAGCCCTTATTTTCAGTTAGAATTCAAATACAATTTTATTTTGTGCCTATATGATAAAAGCATAGTTTGATCAAAGTATGTAATTAATTCCATGGTGTAAAATTCAGAAATTATCTGTTGGCATCGACTGTAAGCCTTTAATCCAATGAACCACATTTACATTTACGACAGCTGTGTCTGTTCTGAATGACTGTATTAATACACCTACCACTGTTGATGCCTGTCACTACTGCCACAAATGTCCAAAATAATGCTAGATAGCAATTGTACAGACATTTGACATTAAATTGAATTGTTAGGGATGTGCAAACTGGCCTGGTTTGGAATTTCATTTGATCTGAATCAAATGGAATTCAATCCAAAGCTAAAAGCTGAGCCACTAAAATCACAACTTTACCATATTATAGAAATATAAACAGGAAGGTAACACAGCGTCATCAATGACTTGCTTTAAAATCATTGCCTTTCCACGCTGATCTGCAGGCACACACGCACAAATGGAAGGTTTGAAAGTGCTATGAACTATAAATTCTGGTCAGGTTTCCATTGCAGCACAGCAACTCACAGTACTTAACACAGAGAAGAAAAGGCTTTCGGAGATGAATCTTTCTGGAATCATTTTGACAACAAAAACTTGCATTTACATTTCCCCTCTTTACCCTTTGTTGGGATGTGGAATGGCCTGCCGAGCTGGGTGGTGGAAGCAGAGTCCATTGTGGCTTTCAGGAGGGAAATAGACAGGCATGTGAGAGAGAGGTGCTTGAGGGGGTATGGGGTTAAGGCAAGGTGGTGAGATTGAAGTGATCTTCTTTCTCTGTGAGCCAGTGCAGACTCGATGGGCCGAATGACCTCATGTCTGCTATAGATTTCTATGTTTCTATCCTACAGACACTTGGATTAAATGCAGAGCCACAATTTCTGCCTTAGTTGAGATCAGCATAGAGATCTTCTGGTCTGCAATGGCTTGGTGCTATCAATACTGTGCCCAGTTTAACTATATTTACCATCTACCCATTTTAAAACCTTAGGTTGTGCATCTCTGCTTTTCTTCAGAGATCTATTTTCAATCTCACCCCTCTCTTTTGGTAGCGTATCAGTCTCCTGGATTTTTGAATCGGTTGATCATTGTGCACAAACATGATTGAAAACTGTTGGGGTGTTGACAAAACAACACAACATGAAAAATGAATGAAGTGGCAAAGGGATAATCAAAGATGAAGTCAATAAACTGTTAGCAGTGGCAGAGAGGAACATTGGTCCCTGGAATAAAAGTCAGATGCATCTCAGGAGAAAATGAATGTCTGAATATCATGATTGATCCTACAAAATAGGAGAAAGAGGATGCTTAGCCTGGGCTGACTGCTAAATTATTTTTCAAAGACTAGATATAAAAATAGAATGAATTGAGGGTTTTTGATGCACAGTCAATACAATAGGATTCTCCATTTCCAGAAGTTTAGATCAATACTGTAAGATTTTTGGAATCCGTCTTACTTGATGACAGCTATAAATGTCTTCCACCATAAGTTATATAGTACGAAATTGTTGCCAAAATGGATAGATTAAGGAGATGTTGGGAGAGTTACTGACCCAGCACTCAACACAAGCAGAAAATATTACAGCTGGACAAAAGGTGTCTAAAAATCCAACCACAAACTTGCACTTTTGGCATGAATGTGTGATGCAACAAATCAAATATATTCATTGTAACCCAGGTCCCATTTGATGCTCAGGGACATTTTCTATTCACATATCTGTCAGCTGCAAATAATTCCTAATAACAGTCTTGGTGGTAGAAGGTGTTGAAAATGGGCAATATTAGGTTCACTGGCAATTTGTTAATTTGTTTCTTTGTTAACCTGTTTCCGATCTACCCAGAGCAGAATAAAGCCTAATGTTACATTTGCGATACATCATTTTCAGTGCTCTGAGAGCTAACAGTGCACTCCGTAAAGGTAGATGTACAAACTCTGGAACGCTCTTTCTCTATTCTAGTTTCCTCTTTCTCTATTTCATTGCCTGAAAGGCTGTTGGAAACAGATTCAATAACAACTTTCAAAAGGGAATTGGACAGGTACTTAAAAAGGAAATATTTGCAAGGATATGGAGAAAGCACGGGGCAGTGGGACTGATTGGGTAGCTCTTCCAAAGAGCCGGCACAGGCACAATGGGCCAAATGGCCTCCTTTTGTGCTAAAATATTCTATGATTCTATGCCTCCGCCTTGCCTCCTCCTTCCCCATCTTCAGGTCGCTCTGAAGATCTTCCTCTTTAATGTGTCTATGGTCACCTCACTCTACCCCCAGCTCGGCGTAGTGCTCCGTCACTGTCAAGCGCTCTGGAACGCTTCCTGCCTGAGGGGTGCTATATAAATGCAAGTAGTTGTTGTATGAGACCAAGCCACCCTTTCTATTGAGTGAAAACTCTGAGTGGGTCATTGATTTTACATCTATTGATAAAGTATTTCCATCTTAGACTGATTTTTTTTACAACAGATCTTGAAATTTAGAGAATATTGTTCATCTCAAGCTTTGTTCGGGATTGAACTTTCAAATGTTAAAGTTTAATTCTTGGAAGCACTGACACCCGACCTTCACAAGGCTACAGACAAGCCACGATTGGAAATTTGAAATGGCTTCACTTTTTTTTTGGTGTAGGGATGAAAGTTGTTGTCATGCAACACTTTGAAGAGCTTTGCAAAAGCTTCCAGCGACTGAGAGATTTAACATGGAAGGGTGTACAGGACCAGGCAGTGGATTGTATGTGGCAATGTGAACACTGAGTGTTAAAGGGAAAATTTAAAAAAGAATTAGTGTGAGAACAGTGGAATGCACGTAACTGCACAGAAAGAAAAACTGATCATGAATTTGCATCAAACCTCAAAAAGTTAACGAATACATTTTGGTGTAGCAATAGATGGTTGATAAACTTCACAATGGTTCTTTGAATGGAATACTGTCTAGAATACAGTGTTATAGCACTTTCAAAGCTGGGAGTACCCTATGAAAGCACTAACTCCAATTTCACCACTATCATTTCTGTTCCATCTGAGACTAATTACCTCAACGCAGACTAGAAGTCGAACCTGCGAGCTTCTGGCCTGAATGCTTTGACGCTGCACCAGTCAATGTCCTTACCCACCAGACCATCAGGGATTTGAAGGACAGCAAAGGAAAATGAGATGGGTACCACACTCACCTTAACCAACCTTTCCCACCAAAGCAGCCTTTCCCTTATCCTGCGCCTTTATTTTCCTTTCCATTTTGTAAACAAAATACACGAATGCTAACTTTCTTGCATTGCTCAAATGTTCTGCGTTTGCTCTTAGTGTAGTCTGAATGACTATATGTATTGTACTTTGCCTGTATAGAGCAGTAAATGTGATGCCACTTTAAGGGATACTTCAACAGGCCAACATCACAAGGGCAAATGTGTCACATACGATATTACAAATTGGCTATCTATGACTGAAGTTATTGAGCCAGGCAGGTCTGCAGTACTCCAGTACGCTGCTGAAGGCAGGCAAGCCAGCCTGACTTCATAGCAGGACTTGGAGGTGCAGAACTACTCTCAGTAGGAAATAGCAATTCTTCCTCCTCAGTTCCTGTTTGGATAGTCTAAATGCGTTTCCACATATGTTAAGCACCCAGACACCCAGCCAACCAAAAAAAAAGTCTAAAATGCAAACCTAGTAGCATCAGGTTTGGCTTAGTTTTCTCAGTGCAGATAAGAATCTTCATTCTGGAAGAGAGTAAACACCATAAGGTTGATTAATCTGACTAAATCCAAAGGGAAACAACAATGTTTGGTTCCGGTCCGGCTGGAATCATTTCAGACTGGTTGGTTCCCTGCCCTGGCTCCATCGTCTTCCCTTGCTGGAATCAGACACACACTTGGTTTGGACGTTTGATTACAATGTGCAAAATTTTCACGTTCTCAAACATTGAGCGAGCTGCAGTCAAAGCAAATGTCACACAAACGCCACCAAAGCAAATGAGCAAAAATAAATAAAATAAAACTCATCATATGTAACATTGTGATTTTTGTTAAAAAATATGTGACAAGCAAATTAATAACCAAGCCAGTAGTTCGAATAAACCCTGACGTTTCGATGGGTTTAACTTAGGGTTCAATTTGCTGTAAATCCCTATTCATTTTCAAAGAAACACCTACTGGATCTTTCAAAATTGCTTAAAAATAAGGCCATCTTACAAAAAGGTACAGATACATAGTCGAATATTAAGAAAACTACACTTGGGATCTAGAGGTGTCCATTGATAATAGTCAAAATTACGAATCGGCTGTATTCAGCTGAAATACTGCAGCAAAGATTGTCAGATGTGCCATACATTTACCAAAACAGAACTGGTATAAAATTAAAAAAAACAACTTTAAAAACTGGGATTGTGATTTTTTTTTCCAACAGCATCAGGTGGGATGGGAGATGCATTCAGCAGCTTTGTTTTACATGGTTTAGTGCAGATAGCTTTCCCTTCCCGTTAAACAACAGAAACATTGTACAAAGGGTCAGTCAAGAATCGTCAGCGCAAAAACACAGGTAGTGCTGATGCAAAAAATATAATCAGAACACTGTCCATTACATAGAAAAATTAATCATTTTCTTTATACATTTATACAGTGTTTAAAAAAGATACAAGACTAAAGAGTGATCTAAGCAACAGTCTCCCTTAAGCCATCTTGTAGTTTCTTTGGGAGAAGCTCTTTCTTTTCCTCTGTGGTGGCTAAGGAGTTCCGACAGTTTGGTGCATCCAAGTACAGCTTTGTATAAACAGGATTTGTGTAATTTGTTGGCTGTCAATAAAAAATAAGATATGAAGATTACATTATTGAATTTGAAGTGTCACCGGTTTCCTTGATGTGAACACCGTAAATCAAAAATGTTGAAAACTCACAAGGCATCACTAAATTAGCATTTGCTCATTACAAAGGACAATATCTTTATTATTCATTAAAATTGAAAGCTTCAAGTTTACAACAATGATGGCCGAAAGTCTACAACACGCTGGTTTCAGAATTAATTTGATGCTGTGCTAATATTTTCTCTATTTGCATCAATCTTTCATGGGAATTTGCTATCTCCATTCTCACTCACGATGTGTTAGACTTGACCACGAACTCCAAAAATTAGTTTGCTTTATTTTGATATTGCAGTAACTGAGATTTATGAGTTGAAGCAGCAAGATTGTTTGAAATGGATTCATATGGAGAGAAATAACTGTTAACTGAATACATCAAGCACATTTTCTGACACAACGTTTGGTATTTGGAAATATAAAAAACTTGTGGTGAATACTGTGAATCTCAGTTGAATAATTGTTTTAGGACTCATGGACTCAAACGTAAGAACTTACAAACAGAGAATTCTAGTCTCTCCAAGCCATCAACCAATGTTAAGGGCTTAACAACTGATTCAAGATAGAAATTGCAATGAAGTGTAAAATTATATTTTTCTCACCTTGCTGAGGAATGTGCAAAGATGTACTCAGAATTTCCCTGTTTGTACCTGCACTTTTCACTCATCATTTTGATGGTAATCTTCTATTAATACCCTCTTATAACAGATCAAGAGGGACAATCACTTTTTATTTAAAAAACATTCAGAATTTTGAAATATATCACTATTGGGATCTCCCCTTAACCTTCCCAGCACATTTCTGTTCCCTAAATGCAAAGGGAAGGGAATAGCTGCACAAAGACACACATACCTTCTCTGGATCTAATGTGAAATCTGGATCCAACAATTCTCCTGCCCCTTCATGACCTGGTCGAACTTCATACATATTGTATGTTGGATTCCCAATTTCTACATTCATTCCTCCATTAGTCAATGGATGCCTCCGAACCCTTTTCACACTAACAGGAGTCATGAAAGCGTGTTAACATGAATTCATCATTGTTTTGGGAATCAGTACTGAAGAAGTGGATGCACTGTGACAGGTTCATTAGTGATGAGTTACAGGACAAAAGCACGACAGAAATAATAAGGTCAAAGTGAATAGCAGATTTGTGAAGAGATTTTAGTTTTAAGTTAGTAAGGCGTGTTAAGAGTTAAAATGTCTTACCGTTGTCGCCTTTTGCAAATGATTACTCCAACAACTACTGCAATAATCAGAAGGACCAAGACAACAATTGGCACAATAAATGTGATGTTTCCTGCAAATGGAAAAACAGAAATAAATAAAGCCCCACTTGGCTGAGCTGATGAAACCATTGTTACCTTCGCAATCTGTTTGTGCTAACCATCAGAGTATTGCTTGTGCAGGGGAAAAAAGTGACCAGATCAATGGTGCAACTAGAAGTTATAAAAAACACTTGATGATGATAATAATAATTCTTGCATTTGATATAATGCTTTATCACGTTATTGAAACAGCTGAAAGTGCTTCACAGATATACTGTAATGAGGATTGCATGTGTATATTGTGGGTGAAACCAACTTTAATGACCTAAACCTAAACCAGGGAAGGGCAGTACATGGAAAAGCAAGACATGTGACAGCCTCTGCCATTAAATCTGATTGGAGATGGAATAGAGAGAGGCAAGCCTGGCTATGTATAGGTTCAAAACCTGTTCTGCCATTAAACTTCTGTTGAATAACTTTAATTTCACTTACTCACATACATTTACTATTTAATCTGGAAGATAAGAACCAGTTTTTAAACTTTTCATCTACTAGCAATTTAAAACTAGTCCTTGACAGAAGCTGACAGGCAATTGTGATCTGGGCATTCTTACATGTTAAAGGCCTCTATAATCATGTCTCAAAATACTGCCTTAGATAATATTTTGATTTATATTTATAAATCCATGACCTCTTGGAAAAAAGATTTTGGAGGCAGTTGTTTTTTAATAGCGATTGTGCATCTTTGAATTTTTGTTCAGACTAAAGTTTCAGCCAATAGCAACAATCAAACAGAACAGTTTGCAGTGTGTTATTCAGTTGCACCATACCTCGACATTAACAAGCTGTCTTGTTGGTAATTCTATATACAATCAAGAAAGGACATGAAACATTTGTAGCTTGAATGGTAAGGTTAAGCTGTAGATGATAATAATAACAATCCTTGCATTTGATATAGCGCCTTATCATGTTTTCAGGATGTCTCAAAGTGCTTCACAGAATATATTTCTAAAGTGAATTGATTATCTATTTTGTGGGCGAAACTCAGCAGCCAATTACACACAGCAGTGTCCCACGAACAATTGTAGATTGAGTGACCAATTTATTATTTTTGTATTATTTGAAGGGATTATTACTCGCAGAAATCTACCAATTATCTAACAACTGGGTTCCGACTTATTGCTAGGTAAAGAGAGGCGTGCGGAGTAAGGAAACTTAGCCAACATTTTGCCCTGCTGGGAATCGAACCCAGGTCCTCTCGCTTACCAAGCGAGTGCTCTAATCACTGAGCTGCAGGACTCCACAGATCTGAGGATTAACTTGGATACACATATAGGGAGCATCCATCAATTGCAAATATGGTTCAATAGACTTGATAGTAATGTGGATTCTCCCCACCACGCTGCAGGTCAATAACCCATTCACATGAGAAATTTCTCACCCTGTACCCTCGCCTGATGCCAAATTAACACAGAAATCTATGAATCAAGACGCAACACCAGTACTAGAAATCACATTAAGATACATTTATAATTTAAAATACTTACTCCCAGTGTTATTCTCAGTTTTGCTGCTCTTGGGTGCTGGCCTTTCACACTGTGTGCCTGACCAGTCATCTGAACATCTGAAATGATCCAATTAAGGACATAAAATTAATGTAGGGCAGATGTTTGAATGTCCACAGGAGAGAGCACCTACAAGGTATCAGCAAGAACAGGCAGCATTTGGGAGCAAGCATTGTGGATTAGACAGCAGGTTTGTTTAAATAGCTATGCTTCAATGAGATGATTAGCTCTGTTATAGGCTAACAGCATGCCATGCATAAAAGCAATTAATTTTAAAGGCTATTTAAACATGCTACCAATGGGGTGATGATTCTGCTGGAATTCAATATTACAAAGCAAGTGAACAATCTTTGGCAGAAGGTCAAAACCTACTTGCACTGAGGCTCATTAAGTGGCGTTAAAGAGCAAACCCCTCCATTTTGACAGTAGTAATCACAAAGGTTCACCTTCTGGTCACATCGATCACTTTTAAACCCCACTGTGCATCTGCAGAGTTATACAAGAACATAACTAGAGTTAAAATGCTGAATTCACTGCAGTGTATATTTATTGAATCCTTTTCTAACCAGCATTCTTTGAAACAAGGATGATGAGATTAATGCAGTAACTACTTTAGCATCTATTGCTCAATCCAAATAGAACCAACACATTGAAATGTACTGGGATTGCGGTGAGACATAAATTAGTCTCAGAGGTAAACTTGCTTATAACTTTTCACTAAACATGCAAATATTATCAATTAAGGATGCAGTTGAGGCGAATAGATGCTTGGATTGTGTTAATTGAAATACCAGGCATGTTGGAAGCTATCAAATCATTACATTATTTTGCAAGTACAACATCTGTCTTCAATGGCTTCTGATTAGAGAAAGGGAAAGATCGGCCATATTTCCTGCTTCTATTCACTATCAAGTGATTTTTCCTGCAAGGTGTGCATGGCTGGACATCATCAATGCCCTCACAGATGAATAACCTGTTGACATTCACTGTTTGGGCTCAGCTATGAAGGAGGATGAGTTGGTGAGGTAATGGATGGCTACGTATGGAACTGCTCACTGTGAATAGGCAGAAATCAGTTTTTGTTTTACAAAAATCAAATTATCCATAAAACTAAACTCACAATTGCAACCAACGTTAACACATAACAATCCCTTTCAGCAACTTTCAGATTGTATAAATCAACTAATTAGGACTTGGAGAGGCTAAAACCATTTTATTGATTATAAACACAAGCGCAGACTGATGTAGACACTTACTGTCATAGACTTTGAATTGAGAAAATATTGTGAACCGAATTCTTTTATGCATCATCATTGTATTTTAATTTGTGTTGATATCACTTTTTTACCATTTCTGGGAAGAGCAGATGCTAATTTTTAAAAATGTATAATTTGTCAGCTTGATCGTTGAGTTGTGTGGCTCATTCAGCACTTGTTATTTTAGTGTTTTTTAAATTACTTTTGAGCCTTGCTCCTGATACCAGAGACCTAGCGTTAATGAACCAAATGTCCTACTTAACTATAAATCAAAAGGATTACTGTCGGTAAAGAGATAAAATTCCCACATCATCGTCACTAACTTTTCTCTCATGTGAAACATTTAGAAAGAGATTGGAAAGCCCTACAGCAGTGAAAATAGTGTCATTGCTCAACACTCATTGTTGCATTCATTCCTAAGCACTGGAGTAAACACCAGTGCTGCTAATTTATGTGAGAGGATGACAGCAATAACAACTTCCATTTATGTAGCACCCTCATGCAAGATGGCATCTCGGAAAGCTTATATTATGATAATAATATCCATGCATTAGATATAGCGCCTTATGATATCTTTGAGACGTCTCAAAGTGCTTCGCAGGATACATTGTAAAGTGTAGTGACTGTGAGGGGATATAAGTGAGAACTGGTGAGAATGTTGCCAAGACTGCATTGAGGTCCCAAATCTGAAATCAGGCTGTTTTCCTTTCAGATGTTTCTTGTTTTGTTATCCCAATCCAGTAAATCCTATTATAAATGTTTGCTGCAAACATGCCTGCCCTACTAGTTACTTCCTGCACTTCTCTGTAAGAGCAGAATTGATAATAAAAAATATTTTCTCAATTTTGAGCACCTGACTTGCTATAATACCATTTAATTAGGTGCTTTTTACTTATTATGGTTATTCTATTTTACTTCCTGGATTTTCCTGTAATATACATTGCTGCTTATTTTTTTCATCCTTCCTGTTGTACAGTTAAAAACAAAAAAAGTGTACATACTGTTGATATGCCGAAGAAATATTTTCAGTCGGGAATTTTTTTTCGCTTGACAAAGCCAGTCATTTAGAAATGTTTGAGTACAACAAAGAGGCCAACAATAAACAGAAATGTTTGTCTTTTAGATACAAAATCTGATCAGAGTCATTAACGATACATTAACATAAGGGCAAATCATTTCCGTGGCCCACATCGAGTCAAAGGCAATGCAAGTCACGCTGAACAGAACTCTTATTCAAATAAAGTTTTAGAAATAGCATACATTTTAACCAATTTCCCACCAAATCCCTCAAATCTCTCTCCAAAAACACATCATGGGAAGAGAGAGACACACACAGACACAAAGAGAGAGACACGCACACACATATAGAAGAGACACACGCAAACACATTCACAAACAGAGACATACAGAGTAGAATCAGATACACAGACACACTCATACACACATACAGAGGAGAGAGACACACTTACATAGAGACACTCACAAAAACACAGAGGAGATACGGAGACAGACACTCCCAACAACGGGGTCTCCGAGTGGAACAAAGCCTATTTCCCACTTGCCCCGCTCCGCCCGCAGTACTAACAAGAATAAAACTAATCCTTGCATTTGATATAGCGCTCTTCACGTCTTCTAGACATCTCAAAGCGCTTCACAGAATAGACTGTAAAGTGAATTGACTGAATAATTTGTGGGTGAAACGCAGCAGCCAATTGCGCTCAGCAGTGTCCCACTAACAGTCGTGGATTGAAAATGACCAATTTATTATTGTTTTGTTTTGGAGGGATTATTATTAATTATTATTGATTGTTATTACAGTAGTGTCGTATAAACAGCTCGAGAGGCCTGGGCTCCAGAAGCATCATTTTCTTTGCGCTTTTATAGCGGAGGGCGCTGTTTATAACGGATTCTGTGGAAAAAATTGTGGACTTTTCTATTGGCCCAGGTCATATGTAACCCATTTTCATGGTTTGCTGGACAGGGTCCAGCCAGGGTTTATCCAATTTTCTGCTTTGTTATTTCAATCAGCCTCTAATTTTGTACTGGTGTGACGGGTGTCAATTTAACCAAATCAGCAAATGCCGAACAGCAGGCAGCTGCTGTATAACCTCAAGGGTAAATGATGGTGAATCCTCCATCGCGCCCACCGTGGCAGAAGCTGTTGGCTGTCCAACCGCAGCCACCTTGACTGCCCCATTCCCACCTCCGATGCAAAGCCCATCGGTCCCTGACCCCGGGGACCGACATCTCCTCCCTTATGCACATCCCTACCCTTCCGGTCAATCTTCCCCCTCCCACACCCCTTGTCTCACCCATTCCTTCAGCTGTCCCCTCAGTATCGGCCTACAAAATGTCCGCTCCCTCTCCAGCAAAACGCTCACCATCCAAGACCTCACTGACGACGAAAACATCGATATCCTCGCCCTCGCTGAAACCTGGGTCACCCCAGATGACACTTTCCACCTGAGCGAGGCCACACCACCCGGCTACACCTTCTCCTCCTTTGAGCATCTTACACTCTACTATCCTTCCAACCTTTCCCTCAATATCCTCCTTGTCTACCATCCCCCCAAACCCTCCCCCAACTTCCTCTCAGACATTTTCATGCTTCTAACGTCCCTCTCCCTTTGCTCCAAATGTCTCCTCATCCTAGGAGACTTCAACCTGTACTACATTCGCCTCCTGCTCTATCTCCACTGACTTCTCTCTCTTTTACTCTCCCTTCACATCCACTATGCCACCCATGTCCATGGCAACCTGCTTGACCTATGATTACCTGGGGCCTCACCAACTCGGATCTCACCACTGACAATGTCATCTCGGACCATTATTTCACCTCCCTTAACTCCTCAATCTCTCTCCCCACTGGCACCCAACCCACCTCCATCTTCTACTGCCCCTAGAAAAAAATCTCCCTCCCCTTCCCTCACCGCTGCCTTGGAATCATCTGACTCCTTCCCCTCTGGGCTTCCTGCCACAATGACCTATATTCCTCAATCACTCTTCTCCACAGCTCCCTCTCCACCACTCTCGATGCCCTTGTCCCACTCACTTCCCAAACCGTCTCCTACTCAAGGAAATCACCTAGGTACACCACCGATTTTAAGAATCCCTTAAGGCTCTGGTGCGTGCTGCTGAATGCATCTGGGTCAAAACCAACTTAACAATCTGTCGGCAGATCTGGCTGGACCTTATCAAATCTTACCACTTTGCCCTCGCCTCCACTAAATCGTCCTTTGACTCCAAGACAATCTTGGATGCCAAGGACAACCCCAGGCTCCTCTTCTCCATCACCAACCGGCTCTTCCACCCACCCTCCACTCCAACTCCAACTGTGAGGAGATGCTGGACTTCCTTGAAACCAAAGTCGAGGAGATCAACTCAGCTGCCTCTGCTCTTCCAACCACTCCCTCCCCCCCATCTCTCCCTCTACACCTTCGAACCTATCTCCCCTTCCTCTCTCATCCGCACCATAACCCACATGAAACCGACCACCTGCTCCCTCGACTTCATCCTTACCCCTTTCCTTACCTCCCAGCTCCACCTCCTTGCCTCCCTACTCACAGATATCATAAACCACTCCCTGTCATCTGGGACCCACCCCTCTAAAAATGGCCGTCATTACTCCAATCCTTAAAAAACCCTCAATGGAACTGCTTTCAAACAACTGCAAATTCTCCAACTTCCCTTTCTTTTCCAATGTCCTGGAACGAATTGTTGCTTGCCAGTTTCGCACCTTCGTTTCCCTTCATGAACCCCTCACAACAAGGAAACAGCCCTGGTCAAAGTGACAAATGACATTTTGTCCATCTGCAACCAGAGCTCCCTCTGCATCCTCGTCCTCCTTGACCTCTCTGTTGCCTTTGATACCATTGACCACTCTATCCTCATCCACCGCCTCTCCTCTCACCTCAACCTTCATGGTTCTGTTCTTGTGTGGTTCAGATCCTACCTCTCACACCATCCCCACTTCACCTCCACAAACGGTTTCTCCTCTAGCCCCTGCGCCATCTCATGCGGCGTTCCTCAGGGCTCTGTCCTTGTTCCCCTCCTTTTCAATATTTATATGCTCCCTCTTGGTGACATCATCCACAGACATGGGGTCAATTTCCCCATGGATGCGGATGGTAACCAACTCTATCCCTTTGTCTCCATCCTCGACTCCAGGACCACTTCTGTCCTGACAGAATGTCTGCCAGATATCAAGCCCTGGATGAGAGTCAACTTTCTACAATTGAACATCAACAAGACCGAGGCTCTCCTGATTGACTCCTCCACACCTCAAGCACTGACAGCATCACCATCCATGGTTGCACACTCCACCTTATTAAGCCAGTCCGGAACCTTGGAGTCTTGTTTGACCCTCAACTATCCTTCCTACCCCACAACCGTGCCACCCAGCTCCACCACTGTCTCTCACCGCAGGCCGCTGAGACCTCATACATGCATTCATAACATCCATAGGAACATTAGAATTAGGAGCAGGAGTACAACAACAACAAGGTTCCATTTATAGAGCACCTTTCACGTCGGGAGGACGTCCCAAGGCACTGGACAGTTGGGTCAGGGCCCGAGCCTTGGGGGGAAAATGGTGAGGGCAGGGAGGGAGTGAGGAGGGGATAGAGAGTTGAGAGGGGAGCTGAAGGCGCGGTCAAAGAGAAAGGTCTTGAGACCGGCCTTGAAGGAGGAAAGGGAGGAGGCGGCGAAGGCACTGGGGGATGGAGTTCCAGAGCCTAGGGGCTGAGAGGCTGAAGGCCCGGCCACCGATGGTAGAGCAGTTGGGGCGGGGGATGTGGAGCAGACCGGAGCCAGAAGAACGGAGGGTATGGGCGGGTCGGTAGGGGGATAGTAGGTTGGAGAGGTAGGAGGGAGCGAGGCCGTGAATGGCCTTGTCGGTGAGGATGAGGATCTTGAAATCAATCCTCTGGGGGATGGGGAGCCAGTGGAGGCGAGCGAGGGTGGGAGTGATGTGGTCCCGAAGCCTGGTGCGGGACAGTACACGAGCTGCAGAGTTCTGAATGACCTGCAGCTTGTGGAGGGAGGTGGCGGAAAGGCCGGCGAGGAGAGAGTTCCCATAGTCCAGCCTTGAGGTGATAAAGGCGTGGACCAGAGTTTCAGCAGCGTGAGGGGTGAGGTAGTGCCGTAGTCTGGCGATGTTCCGGAGGTGATGGAAGGCGGTGCCAGTTGTGGCGCAGATATGAGGAAGAAAGGACAGCTCAGGGTCGAACACAACACCGAGGTTCCTGACTGGCTTTGAGAGGTGGAGAGTGCAGCCTTGGATGCTGATGGTGTCAGCGCCTGAGGTCCTCGAGTTGAGGGTAGAGGAGGAAAGGTAGAGTTGGGTGTCATCCACATACATGTGGAAGTTAACCCCATGTCTGCGGATGATGTCACCACAGGGGGAGCATATAGAGGGTGAAGAGGAGGGGACCGAGGACAGAGCCCTGAGGGACACCACACGAGACAGTGCGGGGGCTGGAGGAAAAGTCCTTTGTGGAAACAAAATGAAGACGGTAAAAGAGGTACGACCTAAACCACTCAAGGACAGGGCCTTGAAGGTTGAGGTGGGAGGACAAGCGGTGGAGGAGGATAGCGTGGTCGACCGTATCGAATGCTGCCGATAGGTCGAGGAGGACGAGGAGGCAGAGGGAGTCCTGGTCGCAGATGGTCAAGATGTCGTTGGTGACCTTGACCAGGGCGGTTTCTGTGCTATGGGCAGCACGGAAACCCGACTGAAGGGGTTCGAATAGTGCATGGGTGGAGAGGAAAGAGCGCAGCTGGGAGGTGACAACTCTTTCAAGGACCTTGGACAGGAAGGGGAGGTTGGAGATGGGATGGTAGCTTGATAGGCCATTCGGCCCCTCGAGCCTGCCCCTCCATTGAATAGAATCATGGCTGATCTTCTAACCTAATTCATTTGCCTACCTTATCCGCATATCCCTTAATCCCTCTATCCTTATTATGAGACTTATCAATCTCAGTCTTGAATATGTTCAAGGACTGAGCATCTATAGCCTTCTGGGGTAGAGAATTCTATAAATTCACTACCCTCTGAGTGACGAAGTGTTTCCTCAACTCAGTTCCAGGCTCTACTATGCAAACTCCCTGCTTGTCAGTCTCCCCAACTCCTCCCTCCGTAGGCTGGAGATTATCCAGAACTCTGCAGCCCATGTCCTCTCCTGCACAAGGCTCTGCAAGCCTATTATCCCCATTCCTTGCCTGACTCCACCAGCTTCCCATCACACAGAGGATACAGTTCAAGATCCTGGTCCTCATCTTCAAACCCTCCATGGCCTTGCTCCCCCTGCGACCTCTTAACCCAACCATGCTGCCCGCTCCTTCTGCTCAGTGGTCTCCAGCTAGCTTCACGTCCCGGCCTCGCCCGCCTCACCATTGGTGGGTGGACCTTCTGTTACGCTGCTTCCACTCTCTGGAACTCCATCCCATAGTCCCTACGCCATGCTCCCTCCCTTGCTTCCTTCAAGACCCATCTCAAGACCCTCCTCTTCAAAAGTGCCTTTGGTCACCCTCCTTCTCCCCTTGCCCTCCACTCGCCTCAATCCCAACTCCGAGCCACAGCTCGGATCCAAAACACTGATTGTCCAGCACCTTGGGACGTCCTCCTGGTGTGAAAGGCGCTATACAAATGTAATTTTATTGTCGTGGTTGTTGTTCTTGTCCTATTTGCCATATTGCAAACTCCTGATGCACAACTGTTAAATAAGAAGCAAATGCAAAGAGAAAAACCTAACAATGTAATGACGTATATTTTCCCAGATTGCTTTAATTGTTTGTAATTGATATAATCTAACATAAAACAATTATTCAGTAACTATCTGCAGGGAGTCAGAAAGCTAACATGTTATTTATTTGCGAGTGGTATTCAGATGTAGTCATCTCCTTCAACTGAATTCCAAAATATACTTACTAAAATCAAAGGATTGGCGATTTAAAAGGTACATCAAATGATTATGCTGCCGGCAGAGAATAGTTAGTGAAGTAACATGGAGCTGGAAGCCTGGTGTATATTTCCTGCTCTGATATTACTTTGAATTTGGAATGGATATATGGTGCAGGACAGACACAATGTAATTAAAGAGACAATTGTGTAACCAGTAACCAATAAAACAAACTTGGAACATCCTTACCCCACTCAACCCCAACTATCCCCCTCCACACTTCCCCAAAACATTGATCAAAGTGGGGAGCAAGCTAGTTTGATTTGATTCATTTGTACTGTGTTTATGCTCGGCACATCACTGGTGAAGGCACCAACCCGAAACAACCCAGACTCCATGTGGTGTCAGGAACAGGGCTCCAGCACGAACCATGCTATTTAGACTCCCATTTATACTCAACGTTTGCCCAAAACACTGACAAAATTGTGACCATTCATTGCCACAAGTAAGTACACACTATAAACACAGCAACAAAAATTCAGCGCTAAAATATAGTATCATTTCTGTACAATGTGAAATTCCGATGTCAAATTGTAAATAAAATTATTTAGTAGAATTTTTGGTTTTGCCTTATACACATTGCTTTACAATGTGACAACAACATGACACAGTGATGAGTGTTGTTCTGCTCTTTCAGAACTGAATGGTTACTTATCATTTGTATTTCAAATACGACGGCTAATCATCTTTTAATGAAATCCGCATTTTCAGCAATGATGCTTGATTCACATATACACAGGTTTTATATCTCTGAGCTTCGTAATGTTAGCTATAAATCAATGTAGCAGTCAGATGATTATTTAACATCTAGGCATACCACCTTCTGTCGGTTCTCCAACAGAACAATATTTACTTGCTGATTGGAATTTAACTTGCTGACTATTAGTTAAATATCAGATTTAGTACAAAGCAAAAATAAATTTATGTCAAAGAGACGTGTAATAGAAAAGGACAAGTCAAGCAGATGTAGATTACTGATGCAAGAACCACAGTAAGTGAGAAAAATCGCCTGCAGATGGGATTATAGTTAACAGCATATTATCCCATCGGCACAGCCTGGGACCTGCAAAGATTTTGTTTCGTATCTTCAGAGTTATGAAGCCAGAAAATGGACTAGATTAGAGATAAAAGCCAGATGGGATATATATCTCCAGTGGAGGCTGACCACCATTCAAAAGACATTTTGGTGATAAAATTATCTGGTGAGTTTTACTTAATAATCTTTGGATTTGATAGAACCCCTTATTTCATCTTTGAGACGTCTCAGAGCGCTTCACAGAATATCCAGTAAAGTGAATTGTCCGTATATTTTGTGGGCAAAACGCAGCAGACAATTGCGCACAGCAGTGTTCCACAAGCAGTCGTAGTTTGAGTGACCACATTTTTTTTAAGGGATTATTACTTATAATAATAAAATAATAATAATACTTGCATTTTGATCTCGTGCTTTTCACGTCTTCTAAACATCTCAAAGCACTTCACAGAATATAATGTGAATTGACTGTATATTTGTGGGTGAAACCCGGCAGCCAATTGCGCACAGCCGTGTCCTTGAAATAGTCGTGGATTGAGTGACCAATTTTTTATAGTTTTTTTTCCTGAGGGATTATTATCAGGTGTGAGGAGTAAGGAAATTTCCCCAAGGTTTTGCCCTGCCGGGAATTGAACCCAGGTCTTTCGCTTGCGAGGCGAGTGCTCTAACCACTGAACTACAGGACTCAACTTGTGCAGAGATGTGGGTCCATGAGATATGCTTCCTGCATAATAACTTCTTTCTACTCCAAAAAACATCATTTCTCAATTGTGTTAAAATAGATAACTTTCCTTAAACTGAACGCTTTGTAGACTAATGCTATTCACAAACGTATTTAACGCTACCCTTACGCCAGGATGTTTCACTGCTCGGGCAACACGTTCAATAGAAGTTTAAAGTACAGAGTATCAACTTACAAACATTTGCGTAGATCAGAGTTTGGGCCGAGTTGGCAAGTGCCACCATTGTAACAGTATCCATCACAAGACAGGCAGCTGGATGCAATCCTTCCATTTGTGCAACTGTATCAACAAAGCGAGACCAATGTCATTCCAGATTATGCTACAAGAACCAGATTTGCAGGCACCTGTACGTATTCCTTGGAATGATCAATTGCACAAAAAATTGATGTTGAGTTAGAAAATATGTTTCCACGGGAGTGAATATTTCACTTCAGTGAAAAATATCACTAAGAAAGTTCAACCGATGATCAATTTGCTTTAGACATGTACCAATTGCAATGCTGGGATTATTAAGTGTCCCGAGACTATTTACTGACCAAATTTGGAACATTATCAAACCGTACTTGTTGAGTTCAATGTAGTTTCCAAATTTGCAGCCACCAAATCGACAAACCCAAATCAGCAAAGTCCACAAGAGAGTCCCGGCCAGCAAAACAGGGAGCTGATCGGTTTCTCAGACTTTGCCAATGTGGGATTTGGGATCCGTCGGCTGCAAAATCTGTCAACTAGAATGTGCAGTTAATGTAACTAATCCAGTTTGTGAATGTCACAATTCAGAACCCAGTTCTGCCGTGGGTTTAGCTTTCTTCTTGCACTTCTCCCTCAAAGTTTGGTGAGTTTGGTGTCACTCTCCTTGCCTCCTGTTGTGCCAGTTTACATTACACTGCCTGGCAGGAAGACTAATGCGAATGACAACATGTTATCCAGTGCGTGAACGTACTTATTGGGCTGAGAAATGTCTGCAAGTTACGCCTTCAGAGTAGACGCATTACGAAAACAGTCACGGCAATTCAGTAAAACTATTCTAATCTGTATAAGTCTACAATCACCTAAGTTTTGCATTTGGTTACTTTATACATTATATATAATATAGCCAAATTATATTATGTAATACATATTAAATAAAATAAAAGTACTATATTAAATTATATATCACCTATTGGCTGCCGAGTTTTGTTCAAAATATATAGTCAATTCACTTTACGTATATTCTTTGAGATGTCTCAACAATGTGATAAGGCGCTATATCAAGTGCAAGAATTATTATTATTATTGTACAGTTGCCCAAGCTCCATTCAAGAGTTTATTCTCTGTACAAGTTTGACATAACTCATACTTTGAATGAATCATACTAAATGTATGGTCTCAACTTTTAATAATAATACTAATAATCCTTGCGTTGGATATAGAGCTTTATCACATCATTGAGACGTCTCAAAGAACTTCACAGAATATATTGTAACATAGATTGACTGTGTGTTTTGTGGGCCAAATGTGGCAACCAATTACGCACAGCAATAGATATGACTTTTGTGAGGTTTACTGTATAATGCTCTGCTCAGTTCGGTAACCCATGTGATGCTAAAATATTCCTAATCTGCAGCTTCAGCATGCAAACAATTCCCATGACATTCCTCATGTCAAGTGTCAAACCTTTGCATCATTACCAGTGGAATTTATTGTGCGGATCTAGTAATGATGCAGTTTATATTTATCACATGAAAATTTCCTGTGAGTGCTGGAGGTGAGCATTCTCGCACATAGGCCACCCCCCTCCCCACAATCACGTGGATTTTATTGCCAGTTAACAAGATAACGATTCTGGTTACTGTACTGGTATTTTTGCATATTTTGTTGAGTAAAAGAAAAAGCATTCCAGTAACTGGCAGTGAATCACCAAATCTGGGAACCAGGAATACAATGTGGTGATATGATCTTCGTGGACATGACTATTAGAACTATTGGTGCTGGGGCTCTGTCTTTAGTAGACACAGAGAATATTTTATGTGGTATGTGTATTTCTTTACTCAGTGGATAACTGATGACTGGAACAGGTTCCCAGGAAAGGAACCTGCTTAAAAAGCAACTTGATGAGGTGATAGTGGGCGGATCGGTAGAGTGGATGTTTTGGAAGGATGAGATCAGATGGGCCAAGGACCTTCCTCAGTCAAAACAATCTTGTGATAAACACATCATTAAAGTGACCCGAGATCTCTTTGAAGACAGTATAATGATATACTTTGCACCAGTGAAGGTGATCTTTCAGGTTACAACAACAACAACAAGACTCCATTTATAGAGCGCCTTTCACGTCGGGAGGACGTCCCAAGGCACTGGACAGTTGGGTCAGGACCCGAGCAGGGGGGAAATGGTCAGGGTGAGGGAAGGGAAGGGATGGAGGGGGTAGAGAGTCGAGAAGGGAGCTGAAGGCACGGTCAAAGAGAAAGATCTTGAGACAGGCCTTGAAGGAGGAAAGGGAGGAGGCGGCGAAGGCACTGGGGGATAGAGTTCCAGAGCCTGGGGGCTAAGAGGCTGAAGGCCCGGCCACCAATGGTAGGGCGATTGGGGCGGGGGATTTGGAGCAGACCGGAGCCGGAGGAATGGAGGGTACTGGCAGGTAAGTAGGGGGATAGTAGGTCGGAGAGATAGGAGGGAGCAAGGCCGTGAATGGCCTTGTAGGTGAGGATGAGGATCTTGAATTCGATCCTCTGGGGGATGGGGAGCCAGTGGAGGTGAGCGAGGGTGGGAGTGATGTGGTCCCGAAGCCTGGTGCGGGACAGTACACGAGCTGCAGAGTTCTGAATGACCTGCAGTGTGGAGGGAGGTGCCGGGAAGGCCGGCGAGGAGAGAGTTCCCATAGTCCAGCCTTGAGGTGATAAAGGCGTGGACCAGAGTTTCAGCAGCGTTACAACAACAACATGCAGATCACAAGCAGTACCCTCTGTAAATCTCTCTGGCCTTGTTTGTCTTTAGGGGAATTTTAATTACTTTAATTTTTAATCAAAGGAATGTGTGCGTACGTGGTTGATTTCTTTACTTTGCCACATTAATCAGCATTACAGGATCACAGGTATATCCCAAAGTTTTGTTGGTTACTTGCAATATGCAAGCAGGAGATAACTCTGCCCATTCTCAGATTCAGCTATTGTTCATCAATTCGACAAAACAAAAATTTAGCAAGAAACAGGCATTAATTAATAGATTAGGGTTCTCACCCATAGAATTACTGTAGTACACAGACAAACAAAGTATTTTTGATCATCACCAGCATTCCATCACCAATGTGATATTATCAGGCTTCTGAAAAATGGGTCTCCCTCTCTTAAGAAAAGCATTTTAACTAACCCTGCAAGTGTGGGCTATCTCTTATTATATTGTCACTCTCAAGACCCCGCTAAAAAACAGAGAGTGAAAAATGCATTGTTTCTTTACAGATTGGATAACATTTAATCATTAAATCTGGTGTGAGTCAAAAATATTTTCTTTAAGCAATTTCACTTTTACAGTGTCAATTTAATTTAAAGACTCTGTCTTTCAAGTAGAATGCATTGATCGGGACGTTTTATTTTAAAGGAACTTTTATCAGTGTGGAATGACCAAGTCTTAAATTCATGTCGCGAATTTCGCAGTGTGACGACTAGGTGGCGCCATCGACTAAAATAGCAAAGCTTTGCCACCAGCTGGTGAAACAGACACACTCACCATACTGTTTTAGCAGCTACCTCCTATAGGAGCTTGTTTCAAATGTATAAGATTCCAGCAAAAACATGTAAGATGCCTTACAAATGAGGGATTAATAGAAAAGCTTCTGAGCAAAACCAGGATTTATAAATCAAGCAGTTTCCAGACACTTGGGATATATTATTGTGAGATCACATTTTAGTGACTTGCTTGCTCGAGCTGGCTGCAGTGCTGGTTTGCTCGTTCCTAATAACACTTCTGATGCACAATGGAAACACACTTACTTGCAAGCCACTTGTCCTGTCTCTTTATCCACAACACACTCTCCTCCGTGGCATGCGGTACATTTATCCACTTCACATTTCGGTCCTTCAAACTGTGCCAAGCACAAGCAATGAGCACCTCCATCCCTCTTTATAACGCAGGTGCCTAAATTCATGCAGTAGTTATAGCACACATCTGTAAAAAAGAAAACCCAACACAGTTAAAAAAACACACAAGCTAGTTCACTTGCAATAATAGCTAAGGTGACATAAAAGGGAGACTGATTATTGTGAAGTGTATTGATTACCTTCACTGACGTCAATAAGTGTGCTAACTAACATAAGAGCTTCATGTTTTTAGGATGAGTGGGCTAGTTTGGGAGGGGAGAGATGGGGGAAGGAGAGAGTGAGAGAGAGAGAGAGAGAGAGAGGGAGAAAGAACAAAGAGCACCATAATTCATCAATGGTGTGTTCCACTTATGATAAATACACGAGTGTTTCAGGTCTACACAGATTACTTAGATTACGTCATTGATTTATCGTGGTGATAACAAAGATGCACTCTGCTGACAGACAAAGTCATCAGAGTGCAGCTCTGGTTGAAATGACTGTGGCCTGGAACATGAATAAGCAACCGATCGGCCTTTAAGTATTACAGTCATGGAACTCACTGTATTGACATCTGTCTCCAGTGAAGTCTGCAAGACAGTAACAGTAAGGTTGATTTCCTGTGTTCACATCACAAATCCCCTCATTCAGACAGAAGCTGTCGCAAACCTTTTGCATGCAGGTTGGACCAGTAAATCTTGTTGGACAACGGCAAGCTGGCTTTCCTAAGCAAACCAAAAAGCAATGTCAGGACACAACACAACAGACATACATTCACGACACAAGATTGGTTTGAACAAAGAAAACCCTTTCAACCCATTTGATCTCCTTCTTCTAGAATTATGTCCCATTAAAGTAACAAGCATAAATGAGTTGAGTGCCCTAGCTGTGGATTACCCTCTTGTGTTAAAAAATGTTTCCTGGTGTCTGTCCAAAATTTGTTATTTCCATCCCTGAACTTGTAACCCCGTTGTCCGGCTGCCTTTGTCTATCTGGAGGAATTGTCTGGGTTTACTGTCACTGACTCATTACTCAGCTGCACAGAACCAGACAACAATAGTGATCTTTAATAGAGACATAGACAAATCCTTGCATAGGGTAAATAGTCGTATCAAGGGATGTGGCAAAAGGATGAGGTTATGGGATTAAAGCACTCTGCAAGATCTAATAAACTGGTTTATTTCGACCCAAGGGCGAAACCTTGGGCAAGTTTCCTTACTCCACACGCCTAATAATAATCCCCCCAAAACAAAACAATAATAAATTGGTCATTTTCAATCCACGACTGTTTGTGGGACACTGCTGAGCGCAATTGACTGCCGCATTTTGCCCACGAATATACGGTCAACTCACTTTACAGTCTATTCTGTGAAGCACTTTGAGACGTCTAGTACATGTGAAAAACGCTATATCAAATGCGAGGATTATTATTGTTATCATTATTTGCCACGCTTTTTGGTTATTTCTGGTACTAATCCTCTGCCAGGTAAAGTATCTGCCTGTTTTTGTTCAAACAAGCAGATACCATTTAGTGTGTCAGCCTGGCGCAGTGGTAGCAATCTTGCCTCTGAGTCAGAAGGTTGTGGGTTTAAGTCCCGCTTCAGGACTTGGAATTACGTAGTCTAAGATGACACTCCAATGCACCACTGGGGGAAAGTGGGGTGGGGCTTTGTCGAGATGCTGTCCTTCGGATGAGACATTAAGCCGAGGTCCCGTCTGCCTGTTCAAGTGGATGTAAAAGATCCTATGAAACTATTCAAAAAGAGAAGGGGGTTTCCCTTGGTGTCCTGGCTAACAAACTCCCAAATCAAATTGGTCAGTCATTCCATGGCTGTTTGTGGGACATTGCTGTACGCAACTGGCTGCCGCGTTTCGCTCACAAAATACACAGTGAAGAAACACTTCACAGTAAATCCTGTGAAGTGCTTTGAGACATCTCCACGATGTGAAAGGTGCTATATCAAATGCAAGGATTATTTATTATCAGTAGTAGTATTCAGACCAACATTATGGGTCCAAGTGATCTGTGGCCCACTTTGTGTTGCAGCTAGGCGGCGCTGACATGGTTAACCTAGCTCTGGCAGCTGCAAACCCACTGTAGCAGCTGCAGCTACGAAAGACCCGCAGCAAAGAGAAACAGTTGCTCAAAAATGACATCAACCATTACCTGACTTTCCTTCTCCCTCAAGAATCATTGGCCAGATATGGAAATTACACACTGAGATAATTTGAGGGGAAACCGTCTCTTTGCAGTGCATAAATAAAATGCAGCTAGCTGTCAGCATGGCTCATTAAGTAAATTAAAAAGAAAAATTTAGATTATTGGTAACACATTGAGGCTCCTAATTAAAAATGCATAATGAAATTTCAGTGATAGCAGTGTTTAAAATGTGATTAAGTGCTGAGGTTCAGTGCGACTCCCTGGTTAACACAGCAGATTCATTTATCCACACTGCTTTTACAATACAATACAACATTATATTTGTAAAGAGCCTTTCACGTCAGGGTGCCATCCCAAGGGATTTAGGCCGACACTTGAATTTCCAGAAAAGTGATATCAGTTGACAAACACTGGCTAAATGTGGGCAAAAAGAATCTCAACAACAACAAAAAAATTACAATTTCACGTCGAGAGGACATCCCAAGTGTCTGGACAGAGAGTTATCTCAGCTGTAAAAGTCAATTTCTGCTGCTCACAGGCCAAGGCTGTTTGTCATTGAATGTTATTGATAATTTAAAATGGATTATTAAAGCAGCCCATCTTTACTGTTAAGGGTAAATATATCAGCACAAAACGTAGCAACAAAAAACAGCATTTAAATATTTATAATGTGCGCTGTGAATTATTGACCAACAATTAGTGATTGCAGGATGACTTCTGCATTCTGGACACTTAGGGAAACACCACTGAACCCTCATTAGTAATGTTGATGTCTGTACTTCAGAGAGACAGAAAGCAAGTCATATTTGCATATGTGCAAAACAATGTCGGTGTGAAACATTTTTAAATTTTGGAAATTGAATTTTCTCCTTTTCCTTTCCTTCAGGTTCAGCCCTTGATCTCTGCTGAAGGTGCTCTGGGGGTTGTGGTTGCAGAAGCACTAAGCACCAGCCTCTCTCGCCAGTATACCCAGCCTAAGTGGCAAGTATCACCTACCAGCCAAGACAGTGAGTGTTATTTGACCGTAGGCACCACAGCTGAGCCTGGTCTCACTTGATGTTCCTCACAAGCAGTTTTTGTCAGTCTCAAAAAAACAGTCTCTTCATTATTCGATCATTCTTTTCAACCCTTTCCTCATTGCTTTCCCACCGAGCACCCCCACCCCCACCCCCTCCCCTCCACCCGAACCCACAAACTTTTGCTGGGTAAGGAAGTCATCCAACTGTCCATTCTTCATGGGTTAGCCATGACAGACAGTGTCGGCTGGCTATTCATGGAGCAATACACTTAGTTTACATTTCACATCCCATATCCGCTCACACGTGCACTTTCCAATAGGGTATCCCAGGCAGCTCGCAAGAGTGAGATAATTACCCCCTCCACCACCCAAAAGAAAATGTTCCCGCCTCATACCTCAACCACTGACCCATCTGAGATGCACTGACTTAGCTGAAATCTTTCTAACAGCATATACTGGAACTATGAGTTTCTGGAATCTAGCACTAGATAATGCTTTTTACCCAGGAGACCATAGGTGCAGCTCATCTTTATCATTTAACAAGTGTATTTTGCGGTTTACATTATTTTGTCTTTTGTTGTTTCTGATTGACATCAGAACAGCGATCAGTGAAAGATTTGCCATTCAGGTGGCTGATCAGTTTAGGCTGTAAACTGACATGTACTCGCTGGGGTTTGGCACACAGTGATTGCAAGCTAGATTCCTTAATGAGGAATGTAAGTAGCAACTCCTTCCAGTAAACTGCACGTACGTCACATACAACAGGTTGACCCACAAAAGTAATACATATTTGACCATGATATTAAAAGACACATAATAAGGGTTCATGTCTCCCAATAATCTAAGGTGGCCACAATACACTTATTCTTAATCAAGCGGTTAGCAAATCCTATTTATACTGTTAACTTGCAGTATTCACCATTATATCTAATATAATATTATGTGGCGCACGTAATTGCATTTATCCAGCGAAACATAATCATGCACGTTCAGATACAATATTTGATAAAGTATTCATCCAACATTAATTGCCAAAGTGTTGCTGTACCTAATGGTGATGCTGAACAGATCCCTCCATTCTGACAATAATCTTTGCACTGGTCGATTTGGCATTGGTCTCCTGCATACCGAGGCTGGCATTTGCATTTCGATTGGTCTTGCTCATTCACAAAACAAGTCCCACCATTTAGACACACAAGGTCACAGGTACTGCCTGGAGAGACAAAGAGGTACCAAGATTACATCTTCTGTATTTATCATCGCGCATGAAGGATTTTATTGCAAGCAGAGTGATGTTCTTTTCCTGTGAGGAACTCATGGTGGTGCATTCCTTGATTCTCCTCAGCGTGGAAGGTTCTAAATATTTTTGTCTGCACTTTTATAAAGGCTTAATCCCAATTTAGAAGTATAGTAAAAATTTGCACAAGTCTGATCTATATATAAATCATATGATTGCCTAAGTCGTATATCTCCCAAGTCCCGTTCAAGAGTTTACATTCCATGCAAGTTTGGCATAACTCATGCTTTGCATAAGTCATATTAAATGTATGATCCCAACTGATACGACTTATGTGGGGTATATTGTATAAATATCTTGAAGCGATATCATTTTTTGTTAGCGGACTTTTGTAAAAGAAAAGGGCTACTGATTCTACAATGGTCTTTTCCTACATAAAGGAACAGTTGCAATCATTGTGGATGAATTGTACTGCTATTGATCCAAGGGTCAGCAGTTTTGTTGAAGAGAATGAATGATTTAGTTCATCAGGGATTTTTTTGTTGCAAGGCCTTCATGTGATAAATGGAGACTATAATAATAATCCTACCATTTGATGTAGTGCTTTTCACATCTTCCAGACGTCTCAAAACGCTTCACAAAATATACTGTAAAGTGAATTTACTGTATATTTGTGGGTGAGGCGTGGCAGCCAATTGCACACAGCAGTGCCCCACAAACAGTCGTGGATTGCAGCAACCAATTTTATTATTTTTTTGCAAAATGTTGTTGGATGCACTATCTACATCCAACATCTCTCACAGACTTTTTACTCTACACGCCTTATTTTTGCCATTTTCTTTGGAAAATGAAAGCTCCAAAAAAATACAGTATGTATCTTTGCAACCATGTAATCTGACAAATATCTCAGCCAGTCAGGCAGAAAGGATACATCAGATGGGATGATTGCAGTGATGATCTAAATATGTCTCACAAATAAATATAATTGTTACAATTATGATTTCTTTACTTCAGATGCCTCTGTTTACCCAGCAGTAAGTATCAACTCAGTTGTTATTCAATTGCCAGATCGCTTTTTGGGGAATAATAATCCCTTCAAAAAGATAATAACATTTGATCACTCAATGCACGACTGTTTTTGTTTCGCCCACAGAATATACAGTCAATTCACTTTACAGTATATTCTATGAAGCGCTTTCAACGATGTGATAAGGTGCTATATCAAATGGAAGAATTATTATTATTATTTTGAGAATTACAACTTTACCTTTATTTAACCACACTCGTATTATGCAGCCCAAGAAATTCAGCTGAAATTGGTGTGAGATATCATTTTGACATTGTAATAGTACACCTTCAGAAATACAATTTGTATTTGCCCTGGTGTGAGATAAATATGGAAGTGACACATAAACTGAAGTGCGTTACATGGCAGTGACACATTATGGAGTTGAGATGATATCATAAATCATGAAAGTAAAGTTCGAATACTTTATCAATGTCATTCCAACCCAGATATTTTTTGTGTCTGTCCTTGAAGCACACTAAGTTTTACGCTTCATTATATTTCTGCCAACTGTTCGTGTGATAGCCAACGGATTCCGTAATCCAACAGCGTGATTTGAACTAAAGTCCTTTGTACCACATGAATCCCAATGAAGTGCTCTTGAGTTTAATTGTCATAACGTGCTAGTTTTATTGTTAATAGGAATGGAATAGTATCCCTTGGATGAAAGTTACCACGGTTCCCAAATAACTGAATGTGTTATTGAATCTATCACATGATTGCCAATAATAATCAGCGTAACATTATTTTCCAAAATAGCATTTTTGTTGAAAGTTGGGTTTTAAACAAGTGAGACATTTGCTTCCATTTTTCATAACATTGTACTGCTGAGGATTAAAGCATCACACAGGATATTTCCCTGTTCATTTTAACACTGACCGATACCCACACTGCTTCTTCATGATATTTGTAATTTTAATTTGATGAAAAACATTCACGGCAGGGGTTTAACTTAATCTCATGAAGATTGATGAAAATGTATGATGCTCATCTTATCTCATGCATTAAAAAACAGCCATTAATAACAGTAAAGTTGATAACATCTTCTTAGTTTCTCTGCTCACGGATGTACCTGATTGAAGGCACATCAGCATACTTCCTGCTGTCTATTTGTGTGTAGTATGATCCCCAGAATCTGATTTGAGTGGCTTTCGATGAATAGCTATCTCATTATATGCTGAAACTTGATATTGTAATTTGAGGCTAGGATTTAAATCTACAAGGGTGGATTAATAGATCTGCACTATTAAAATTAATGATCACCTTCATTATACTATGTACAATGAGTTTTCACACCTTACTTAGAAAAGATAGCCATTGTGTGGGTGTGTGCATGCGCATTCACATATCTTTCTCTCGTTCCCTCTGATCAGCGGGTACTGGCCTGCTGAATGTTAACCTGCCTGCCCACTCCACCATTGGTGGTCAGACCTTCAGCCTTTCTGCCCCCACTCTCTGGAATTTCATCACGGACCCCTGTGCCTCGCCCCCTCCCTTGACTCCTTCAGGGTCCGTCTTAAGACCTTCCTCTTTGACCGTGCCTTCGGTCATCCTCTCACTTCCATTCTCCCTTGTCCTCCACCCCTCTTGATTGTGACCCCTATCTTGGATGCAAACCCTTCACTTGGGACGTCCTCCTGACACGAGAAACGCTATATAAATGCAATTTGCGGTTGTTATTGTTGGTAGTAAGAAATCCGAGTTGTGCAGAGGAGGAATCCTGCCAGAAATTGGAAATACATGGAAACTCTTCTCTTCTTCCGGAGAAGGGTTTTTACAGGTCAGTGGAAGTTCTAAGAATGCTTAGTACGAAGTACTGCAAGTTAGATCCACTGGAGTCATAAATATTAATCTAACATTGACCCAATTTAGAACTAAAACTGAAAGATCTTTGAATGCATTTCAGGTTTATTTTAGCAATTTAAACTCCACAAATCGGCAATCTTTGTTCATATTTAACTAAGCAACAAACAATCAGAAACCAATTTATCGGTAATTTTAAGGAATTCATGCTACATCAACAACAATTATAATGTCATTCAGCTAAATAGCGTCTCACAGATTGGAGGAAAAGATAGCAAAATGAATATTACATGTTTGAAAAAGGTGCCTTTAAAGTTATGGATTCATCTATTAAATTTAAACTGCTCTGAAGGATATAAACAGCAATAAATATTTTTTTAAAATGTAAAATTAAATCAAAAGCCCAATAAAGATGCAAATCAGATGAATAAACAACAACTCGCATTTATGTAGCTCCCTTCACGTGAGTTAATGGCACAGAAGTAAGGAGGTAGATTCAACAAATGAAGTCTTAACAAGCAAGTAGTGTACTTGAAAATAACCAGAGTAAAATATTGTAGTGAGAGTCCTGAAATATGATGTAAATGTATGTACTTTTGGGATAGCAAGTGGCTGTATCTCAATCCCATAGTTGGAGTGGAAGGAACTGTATTCTAGTGCATAGAGGAACTTGCAATTAGTAATGAAGTACACATTTCAAAAGCAAACTGGTATGTAGAGGCAAGACACGATAGAACATGTCAAAAAATATTGGAAGAAATAACAGCAGAATTAGGGAAAGCTAGGGTTGGAATTTTTCAACAGTTTATTCAATCAGGAATAACACTAGCTAAATCAAAATGACAGTAGAATATGTTTGTATTTTTTTTAAAAAATCAGAAGCGTTCTCATGGGGACTGCAGACCTGCTACCATTAGATTTTTTTTAAACAACGATAAGCAATTGAGTATATTATAAGGGAATTCAACCCCATTTAACAAGACTTAATAAAATAATTCTGAACCAACTCTGGTTTGTGAAAGATAGATCAAATGCAGTGAAATTTTTTGAATATACAAAATGAGTGAATTCTGTGATGTGGTGGATGTTATATATCTTAGCTTTTATCAGATATTTAACATGATACCTCACTAGGGATTTGTAGTTAAAAAAAATCTTGGGATAAAGGAAGGTATAACACATTACATAATGTATCAGCTAAATAACAGGAAATAAAATATAGTGGAGATTGTTAGAATTTCAGATAGCTGTGACCTGGAGAAAATTTAAGGGATCATTTCAGGCAGCTCTGGTGTTCATAGGTTTCTAAAATGCCTCTGAGTAGAACAATTGTTCTAAATACTTTAGAAAAATGGGTTAAGTCACAAGAATTTGATAGAATGTAATATTGGTGAGAAATATAATTTTCTGATATAGATTCTACATCAGCAAATGTGATCAACCCACAAACTGATCATTCTAAAAAAAATGTAAGTCTTACCTCTTAAGGTGATGTTACTTATTGTTAGGATTGGCTGGGTGGCTGAGTTGAATGGGTCAGGGGTTCAAGAGCATAAAGTGTGTTGGATTTAGGGTTTTAGATCCCTTAATTATGTGTTAAGTATCGAATTTTGCTTAATCGTGATTATGTCACTCACACGTGATGCTTTTGTGTTGGAATCATTTGCTTCAGTGAGTTATATTACGATCTTATAAATCAAACAAATTACAAAATTGTGTTTCTTAAAAACACCACAGTATTGTATATAGGCTAGAGGGTGCTTTGACCTACACCAAAGTCTTGCTATCCCACTGTGACATCAAGTAACACATTTTGTAGATTTTCGTAATATTATTGATTAGCATTTTCAGAGCCAAAGGTTTCAAGCAGCGTACTTCTTAAAACGTTATTTTTGGCTAAAATCTCTGATAAATGCCTGGAAGCACAGCGGTACTCACCATACGGCAGTGCAGTGGGAGAATCCACATCAATGCACGTTCCATTAATCATGTTTTTCCCATCTGGACACAAGCATGTAACACCGGTAGGATTCAGCAGACAAAGCCCCTCGCAGTTCCTTTTGCTGCAAGGGTTTGGTACTACAGGAAAATAATTTTAAAAATCTATTATTTGCAGTGTATGAAGTTCAAAGCATTTTAATGCATTCTTATTTTCTCACCGCTACGTTTCACAAAAGGGTACATTGAGATTTTCAATTACCTCCGTAATAGGATGCAATAAAAATGAAAAACAAAGACATATTCAAAAACTAAAATCGCAAATTCTGGCTAAGTGAAATTGCTATAGCCTGTAAGTGTTGCTACTTACTCTCTTGCTGTTTGTATTGATGTGATATTACTGTAGCTGAGGCGTCATTGAGACCTGAAACCAGGTATTCAAGATGATCACGACCAAACTTGTGCACTTTGAAAACACGGCTATTGGTGTGTGTCACTCCGTAGATGTAATCTTCGAACACGTCAATGCTAAATGGATTCAGGAGACCTTAGAACCCCAAAAAAATGTTGTCTTAGATCGTTTGTAACGGAAAAGGTGAAAAGGCAATATCTAAAGAAATGAATCATTACTTGCGTTTTATTCCTCAATCTCTTCAGAAATCAAAATAAATCTTCATAGGCTGAAAACTGCCCTACCTTGTTTGATACTGGCAACCACGACAGGATCACTGCCATCAAAGCGAATACTGCCTACAATTGAAAGCTTGGCATCTGCCCAAAATAAGCGTTGGATGAAATGATCAAGAGCCAGTCCTGAAGAAGAAATAACAAACTCAACATTTCAAACCTCGTGACTGAGAGATAAATGTTTCATAGTTTTATTTAGCTTTAATCAGTTATGCCGTTTGATCTTACATTTAGAAATTGCGGGGTGTAAATTGTGATGCACCATGTGTGTCATATATGGCACCGATGGTGTCAATTAACATCTGGATCGAAAACAAAAGTGAACTGAGAATATTTACAATGTCGACTGGTCACATCCACCTAACTGCCCTTTAATGTCAGAAGTGCACTTGACTGTCATTTAGCACAAATAATAGATTTTTTTTAATCCCCCAAAATGCTTAATTTTGTCCCATTGCAATGTATAGCAAATTTGTTGCAATCCAGCATTTCAGGTAAACTGTAGTACCGGTAGGCCACTGCAGGTCCTTATGTATGAGAATTCTTCTCAAAGTACCGTCCATGGCAGCCTGTTCGATCTTGGGCTGCTTACCATAATCTGTCCAGTACATCATTCTGTAAGCATTAGAAACAAATGTCTGTGAAAATGAGATGCTTAAAACTAAACAGAATAAAACTATTTGACAGTTTGAACGAACACTCTAACAGAGTACTGTAGTGTACCACTCACTATGAAGGAGTAATGTAGTGGAATACAACAACAACAACCTGCATTTATATAGCACCCTTCACTCTCGGGGTAGCGTCCTGAAGTGCTTGACAGTGGCAGAGTCTGACCCGAAGCCAGGCGGAGTGGGGGGGTGGAGGTGACTGTAAGCACAATCAAAAAGGAAGGTCTTTAAATGGGATTTGAAAGTGGGGAGCCAGGGGGCAAGCCAGAGGGATTGAGGGAGAGAGTTCCAGAGTTTTGGGGCATAGTGGCTAAAGGCATGGCCACCGATAGTGGAGTGGAGGGGCCGAGGAACTAACAGGAGGCAGGAATCAGCCTAGCGGAGGCAATGGGTGTTGGAGTGGGAGGTAAGCAAATTGGATAGGTGTGAGGGTATGAAGGGTTTGAAAATGAGTGAGCGGATCTTGAAATCGATCCTTTCGGTAATTGGGAGCAAGTGGAGCCTGGCAAAGACTGGTGTGATGGGGGTACAGAGTTTTGTGCTCACTGTAAAGGAGTACTATTGTGTACTACTAATGCTTGTAAGTAAATATAAACAAAGCTTTGCCATGCAGGCGGCCTATTTGAAACACATTGATATCCTTAAACATTGAACATTTTTCACAAGGACTATAACCTTTCAAAAGTAACTTAAGTATGATACACCTTTAAAAGTTTGCAGAATAATAATAATAATAATCCTTGCATTTGATATAGCGCTTTTCACGTTGGGAGGACGTCCCAAAGCGCTTTACAGAACACACTGTAAAGTGAATTGACTGTATATTTGTGGGCGAACGCGGCAGCCAATTGCGCACAGCAATGTCCCACAAACAGTCGTAGATTGAAAATGACCAATTTATTATTGTTTTTGGTTTTGGAGGGATTATTATTAGGCTCTGTGTGGAGTAAGGAAACTTGCCCAAGGTTTCGCCCTCTGCCTGGAATTGAACTCAGGTCTCTCACTTGCAAAGCGAGTGCTCTAACCACTGAGCTACAGGACTCCACAGAATGTGCTCTGTTACTATCTTGTTTAGTCTGGCAACATTGACAGCTATTCTAATTAGTTTTACTTGCTCATTTCCATAACGGGTTTTGAATTCATTCAGCTAATCGTACTCTTAGGTTCTATCATTCCAGATCATCAGTTAATGTCTCATCCAAGTGTGTTAGCATTTAAATAATATATATGCAACTCTTGTGTTTTAGTTGTAACTGAATATTGCAAAGTGTATGTGAACTCTCAGGTTTATGAATGCAGTTAAATACAGCGCTGCCCTCAGCACTGATATCTCTCGGTAAGTGGAATCAGCCTGGTAAAGTTGCCAGAAATTGCAAAGGCTGTAATTACTATGTCTGTGAACTGATATTTCTACAGTAAGATTACTTACTTGTTATTGAATATAGAAAGCATTGGATTGCAAAGCTATCTTCCTTAATGTATGCTTCACATGCAATATAATCATAATATAATAATCCTTGCATTTGATATAGCGCCTTATCACGTTGTTGAGACATCTCAAAATGCTTCGCAGAAAATATTGCAAACTGTATATTTTGTGGGTGAAATGCAGCAGCCAATTGAGTATCCCATTGGCCCAGTGTCCCATAAACATTTGTCGATTGAGTAACCAAATTATTATTATTATACATTTATTTTTTAGATGAATTATTAATCTGGAAAGTGATCTGCCAATAAACTAAAAACTAGGTTCCTATTTACTGCTAGGTAGACAGAGGTGTGTGGAGCAAGGAAACTTGCCAAAGTTTTCACCCTGATCAGAAATCGAACCCAGGTTCTCTCACTTGTGAGGTGAGTTCTCTAATCAATACACTACAGGACTCCACTTCCCCTTGTATGCAAGACAATCTGCTAATGATTGCATTTCTTACCACAGAAATACAAAATAAAGCACCATACCCTCTGTTGGGATCAACAACAATCGCAGAAGGCTTGTCCATCATTCCAGACACAAGTCTTTTGTATTTCTGCCCATTGATCTGAGCCACATAAATGACATTTCTGAAAGAATCGGTCCAATAGATATTTTCAGTAACCCAGTCAACTGCGATGCCCTGTGGTGCGTGGGAGCCAGGAATCTGAAGCAGAGAAAAAGATAAGTTTTGAAGTTTGCCATCATAAGTCACAATTATCCACGTTTCCACCACATTGCTTTTCCAGGACACAAATGTCAAATGGTTGTGTTAGCTCTCGGGAGCGAATTTATTCACTGGCTTTTGTAAAGGTATTCTTTTACCACTGCTGTTGATGAATGTAAGATAGTTTAGAAACCATACCATAAAGTATGGCTGTTTTGGACTTTTTCACATGTTGCTAAATAGCTGGGAAGCTCATTGCTTGTTAATGGACTCATATATGAATCCACACAAGAAGGTGAGTAAAGATGAATTGTTTATAACTTGTTATCTCTCAGCAGAGTAATTTTATAGCTTGTTAATATTTTCACGAGTATGTTATATTCATATTCATTAATTAAGGTCCAGCCTGCCCAATCTTCAGGTGCACATCAAAGATCCCAGGACAATATTTGAAAAAAGAAGGAAGTTTCTCCTGGTTTTCTGGCTAAAGATCTACCAAAATAATTGATGATTCACCTCATGATTGCTTGTGGCTGCTTTGCCTACAAAACCAAATACTGACTTCTCAAGTAATTACTCATGAAGCACTTCGAAATGTTTTAACATAATAAGGTGCTATAAGAATGCAAGTTCTTTAAGATCTGTCTAGCATGCTTCGAAGTGCAGAATATAAATGGAGTAGATCATGTGAGTGGGATACTGATTTGAAGGGGGTTTAAATATTTTGGCTTCTAAACATGCCCAGATAATAAAATAATAATAACAATCTTAGCATTTGATCTACGCCTTACACATCTTCCAGACGTCTCAAAGTGCTTCACACAATATACTGTAAAGTGAATTGACTATATTTTGTGGGCGAAATGCGGCAGCCAATTGCACACAGCAGTGTCCCACAAACAGTCATGGATTTGCTGTGCATGACTGCATGACAAACACATGGTGGAGAATTCAACACATCCACAATGCAAATTCGTTTTCCAACAGATTTGGATTACGATCTGACTCTCTGTAGCCAGTATGAATTCTCTACCTGGCTGCAATGAAGCAAGTTGCATCCCCAGACAAAATGGCCCACAGTTTCAAAGGAATTTTGCCATGTTGTGTTACATCTGGTTTTATCTTTGCTGTGCATCGGTCATACCAAGTGTGTTAAAGAGAATGGGAGCCATCTAGACTCAACCGTTCACCCGTTCACCCTTATGCTCCCTTTCTGTGCAGTGGTACAATAGGATTTATCTACATTTATTTAATGTATGTCAATGTTAATAAACCAGAAAAATTACTTTACAAAAAAAATCTCAGATCCTAGCTGGTTATAGGTCAGGAAACAAATCACAATTACAAGTTAAATTATAGTCAATAATTGTGGGGAGAAAAAGCACAGCCTTGTTTTAGTCACAATTAATAAATGCATGAAAAATGCTGTATTAATTGCTAGAAACAGATAATACAGAATGATATATTTTGGAAAATTTAAAAGACACACAATTTCTGTTTTCTTCATGTGCACTAAGAAATACATAATAATATATAATAATAAATATCCTTGCATTTGATATAGCACCTTATCACAACTTTGAGGTGTCTCAAAGTGCTTCACAGGATAGTGTAGAGAATGTATATTTTGTGGGAGAAATGCAGCAGCCAATTGCACACAGCAGTGTCCCACAAACAGTTCTGGATGCACAAAATGTCCAATCCAAGGTTGTTTCTCATGTCGCTTTATTGGGAATAAAATCCACAGAGGATTCCATTTCCAGGGAGCAAAGCAGCCCTCGCTTCAGCCAGTAGATCCAGAATCACATCAGTGTTGGGAAAACCGAAACCACAGCGAGACAGGCAGAAATGGAAAAGATGTACAGAAAGGTAAGTGATTGGCAAATATTAATTGAAGATTACAGAAATCAATTCCAAATGAGATTATTAATGTGGTCGCTATTGAAATGTCATTATTTCTGATTTAATGCACTCAAATAGTGTTCTCTTGAAATTACATTGAGATCAGCAGCATCACTTGTCTGTCTCTTCCGTTTGTCCGCAATGTCTAGGTAGGAGATTTTCCCTGTGTGCCAGTTTGTCCAGAAGATCTTTCTGCCTTTAATGTAGACATCCATCATACTAATCCTGACAGTCTCATCTCCTTGAAACACTTGCTCATAGGCTGTGTTGGGGTCAAACGGGTATATACTTCGGATTTCATTCCCAGTCGTAATGTAGAGCACTTGATGTTCTGAACCTGAATGAAGATTACAAGGAAACATCAGACAAGATTTAACAATGTGATACATTCTCAATGCATTCGTGAAATACAGTATCCAGATCAAATCTAATACAAGAAAACAAAGTGCAAAATGATACCAACAAATACAAAGAAAATGAAGCTGAGCAAGTAAATTAATATTATATCTGAACAAACTATGTCAGCTTTTCACAGCAGCTCCCACTCCAGGTAATTTAGAAACAGTGATGGTCTTGATGAATGATATTTTCACTGAATGATCGAAGTAGATTTTTAGAACAATTTACTACCCAGTAGAGATTAGAAGCTGTTAATGCAAAATATGCGCTGTTTGGCATTGGCCCAGCCTCTTCTTGGTATGATTTCCTACACAGTTGGGAATGTTTAAGGCCAGAAAATGCAGGTGTGACTTGGAAACGACTGGGAAGGCTGAGTTTGTGAAGTGTGTGTCTCACCTCACAGTGCAAACACAGTGGATTGAATCCACAGCACCAAGAGGGTATTGCTGAACTGTTTCTCTGTGGAGGGGGTTCTGCAATAATAAATCCAACCTAAAAGCATGTGGCACTTGGGGGTTTCACATATTAATGCCTGGTTCAGTTTATTGTAGTGTGGGCACACTTTGAAGAAGTAAAACGGGGGCAGCCTAATCAATGATGCTCCAGGCGGCGAGACAGGTGCTGGCAACAATGGAAAGGGGGACACAGTCTTATAGTGTTAAACACACTGTGGCACCATTGTTCCCATGTGTGCCCAACCTGTCCTGTAATCTACGTAAATCTGGGGAAGGGGAAGGAGAGAAGAGGGGAATAAAATAAATTTAGCAGATTTCAGAAGTTCGCATAATACTGAGGTCTGTTGTTAAACAGGGGCTGCTATGTTCTCTACAACAACAACAACTTGGTGCCCTCCAGGCCGGACGGCGTCTCAAAGCGCTTCACAGTAACGGATCCTGGGGCCGAGCCAGGGGGAGGGGGAGGTAGGTGACCAAAGGCGCAGTAGAAAAGAAAGGTCTTCAGCCGAGACCTGAAAATAGGAAGAGAGGGAGCAAGGCGAAGGGAGTGGGAAAGGGAGTTCCAGAGCCTCGGGGCCTAGTGGCTGAAGGCACAGCCGCCGAGGGTGGAGCGGAAGACTCGGGGGACAAGGAGGAGGCCAGACCCAGAGGAACGAAGGCAACGGGCACTGTTTTGAGGAGAGAGGAGGTAAGAGAGGTAGGGGGGTACAGAGAAGTGGAGGGATTTGAAGACAAGGGTGAGGACCTTGAAGTCAATCTTCTCTGGGACAGGCAGCCAGTGCAGTCTGACAAGGGCTGGAGTAATCAGGGAGTGGAGTTTGGTGCGGGTGAGAATGCGGGCGGCAGAGTTTTGAATAATCTGGATTTTGTGGATGGTAGTGGAGGGGAGGCCAGTGAGGCAGGCATTAGAATAGTCCAGCTGAGAGGTGACAAGGCATGGACCAGGGTTTCAGTGGTTTTCGGAGAGAGTTATTGGCAGAGACGGGCGATGTGTCGGAGTGGAAGAAAGCGGTGCTGGTGAGGGACCGGATGTGGAGGAGGAAGGATGATTGGGGGTCGAACCTGACACCTAGGTTGCATGCGGGTTCGGAGAGTTTTAAGGGAAGGTCGAGTAGGTGGAGGAGGTGAGAAACCATGAGATTTTAGACATTGACGAGAGCCAAAGAGTATGGCTTCCATCTTGCCAACGTTCAGCTGAAGGAAGTTTGCGCTCATCCAGCCTCTGATGTCTGACAGGCAGACTGACAGAGCATCAGGGGACTGGGGGTCGTAAAGAGAGGTGGAAAAATAGAGTTGGGTGTCGTCTGGATATATGTGGAAATCTACCCCATGTCTGCGGATGACATCCCCAAGAGGGAGCATGTAGATCAGAAAGAGTAGGGGGCCAAGGATGGATCCTTGGGGTACCCCATAGGTGACCAGGTGAGAGCGGGAGGAGAAGCCGTTTGTGCAGATGTACTGCTGGCGGTTTGTAAGGTGGGACTCAAACCCGGCGAATGCGGTCCCACTGAGGTGGATGACGGAGGAAAGGCGGTGGAGGAGGATGGCGTGATCGACTGTGTTGGAACACCGCGGAGAGGTCCAGGAGGACAAGGAGGCAGAGGGAGCCCTGGTCACAGATAGAGAGGATGTCGTTTGTGACTTACTCCTGCTATCATTATTTTTTCTGTCTGTGCAGAAAGAGGTAGCTTTCTGGTAGCTCATGAGATAGTGGAGGCCTTGTGACTGATCTTCCAAAATTCTTTGGATTCTGGAAGAGTTCCATTGATTGGAAGATCGCAAACGTCACATCACTATTTAAGAAGGGTGGGAGAGAAAAGATGGGGAATTATAGATCAGTTAGTCTGACATCGGTGGTAGGGAAAATTCTAGAATGCTTAATGTCGTAGTGCGATACTTAGAGGATCACAATATGATTAGACAGAGTCAACATGGTTTTACAAAAGGGAAGTCATGAGGGTTGATCCACAAGATTAGGGCCCGTGGAATTAAGGGGAATATATTAGCATGGATTGAAGAATGGCTAACGGGAAGAAAACAAAGAGTAGGGATAAATGGGTTCTTCTCAGATTGGCGGGATGTGACTAGTGGAGTGCCACTTGGGCCTCAACTATTTACAATCTGCATCAACGATCTAGATGAGGACATAGAATTTAATATATCCAAATTCGCCGATGACACTAAACTAGGAGAGGGAGGAAACACTGAGGATGACATTAAAAAAATGTAACGAGATATAGATAGGCAAGATGAGTGTGCAAATAAGTGGCAGATGAAGTATAATGTAGGGAAGTATGAAGTGATCCACTTAGGTGGCAAAAACAGAAGAGCAGATTATTTTTTAGCATTAGCTTCAGAGGGACTTGGGTGTCCTTGTACACCAGTCACAAAACGTTAGTTTGCAGGTACAGCAAGCAATTAGGAAGGCTAATGGTATGTTGGCATTTGTTACGAAAGGGTTAGAATATAAGAGTAGGGAAGTCTTGCTGCAACTGTATAGGGCCCTAGTGAGACCGCACCTAGAGTATTGTGTGCGGTTTTGGTCTCCTTATTTAAGAAAGGATGTACTCGCCTTGGAGGGGGTACAAGGTAGATTCATTAGGTCGTTACCAGGGATGAGGGGGATGAGTTATGAGGATTGGTTGAGCAATTTAGGCCTATATTCTCTAGAATATAGAAGAATGAGAGGTGATCTTATAGAAACCTATAGGTTTATTGAGGGGCACGACAGAATAGATAGTGGGAGACTTTTTCCCCTGGTTGGAGAAACTATAACCAGGGGTCAGAGTCTTAAAATTCGGGGTAAGCCCTTTCGCACTGAGTTGAGGAAAAACTTCTTCACTCAGAGGGTAGTGAATTCATGGAATTCTCTATCCCAGAGGGCTGTAGATGCTCAGTCCTTGAACATATTCAAGACTGAGATTGATAGATTTCTTGTGGATAAAGGGATTAAGGGATATGGGGATAAAGCGGGTAGGTAGAGTCAGAATAGATCAGCCATGATCTTATTGAATGGCGGGGCAGGCTCGAGGGGCCGAATGGCCTACTCCTGCTTCTAATTCTTATGTTCTAATGTTCTTATGTGCAGAGGAAAGGTGGGTGGGGGCGGAGGGGGGGGGGGGTGGGTTAGGGTTTCAGGACAGAACCCCTATTATACATGAAACAAGAAATCCTCACTAAGATAGCGATAAACATGTCCATCCTATATTTTTGCTATGTTTACAATTATTAGCTATTTTACACATAACTGAACATGCTAAAAGTCAGATTCAACAACTATTCAAATATATGAATTAAATTGGTAACTGAAAATTAAACTTTCTCTTGCTCAGTAAACTTTGTAATTTGCTACTGCTGCGTCTTAGCCTCCACAAGGTTTCTATATTTAATGATTGTTAATGCGAACGATTGGAGCTAAGAGGCCAGTCTGCAATCAGTTCATTTTTATACTTTAGATTTATGCCATCAGATTTGCAAGCAAATTTAGTATCAATAGTAAAAGGTTGCATTGGTCAAATAAACAGGTGTTGATACCATTCAGCTCAGCCATATATACACAAACCACTCACATAACGAATAGCCCAAAGCAGTAGAATAAGAGGACATAGGTTTAGAATTGTAAAGGGCGATTTCAGGACAAATACCAGGAAATATTTCTGTACGCAGAAGGTAATCAATGACTGGAAAAAGGTTGCTAGGAAAGGCAAACCAGAACACTGGACTCATCAGAAACATTCCGCTAAACTTACCAAGCTTGTTTCCCATCGGGCTTCAACTTTCACACAATACCAATTTGAGAATTCTCAAAACAGAGAAGCCAATCGACTTTGTGTCAAAGACTACCAAGTCAAGAAATATGAACACAATCCCCTCTCCCCAATTATACTGCAGTGGAAGGAATTTTGCCTCTGGCAAAGGGGTCAAAAGCAAGTGGACATGATAAATTAGAGCTGAGCTGGTTAAAATTAGAATACATGTCTTCAGAAAAATGGTTGTAAGAATGTGGAATCTACTGCCCCAGAAGGCAATAGATGTATAATTAATTATGTTATGGGATGTTTGAAAGGTTTGGAGGGAGGAAGAAAGGGAGGGAACCAAGAAGTAAGGATATTAAGTGATGTGGAGAAAAAAGGGAAATGGGATCAGAGGTTTGGCATAATTTAATAAAAACAGGCTTGGCTGAACAGCTATTCATATTCAATGAACACATAGAATTGCCTAATATTATCTAATCTATCCCTCCTCCGCCCTCCACAGAATGGTCCATTTAGTTCAGTGGTATAAATTACACCCTAAAAGTTGCAATTTAACTTCATTTATGTCTTGCTGATCTGGCAGAGACGCTAGGCTTGAACATGAAAAATAGGCACTTTAATGTGTTACAGAAAGGAATCTAACATCCATGAAAACTCCTATCCTAGCAACAAAAATGAATACATTCAGAAAAATAGGAGTGAGCAAAAATTGGGAAAACAACCAAAAATCCATCTTTGTTCATATAACTCCAGACATGATCTTCTCCTCTATGACTCTGCATAATAACTAGCAATACACCAACAACAACTTGCATTTAAATACTTGCGTCTTTTACACGGGGCAATGTCTAGGAGTGCTTAAGAGTGGCAGAGCCTGACGTTGAGCTGGGGGGGGTAGGAGGAGGTGACCATAAGCACGGTCGAAGAGGAAAGTCTTTAGTTGTGATCTAAAAGAGAGGGAGGAGGGGCAAGGCAGAGGGATTGTGGGTGAGAGTTCCAAAGCTTCAGGGTGAAGTGGCTGAAAGCCCAGCCGCTGATAGAGAAGCAGAGGGGACGAGGGACAAGCAAGAGGCCAGACCCAGCCGAGCGGAGGCAGTGGGTAGTGGAGTGGGGAAAAAGGTCAGAAAGGTAGGGAGGTGCCAGGGCGTGAAAGGGAATTGCAGACAAATGAGAGGATCTTGAAATAGATCAAAATAGATAAATTGGGCAAAAATACAGGATGAAAATTTTTAATCTTGAGGAAACAAAACAACCATTATAAGGCGACTTTGACCTTTGCTTTTACTCCACTATTCACAGGCTCTGTTTAATACCTCAATTCCTAGGGCTAGGTACAACACACCATTCCACAGATGGGGCATCAGTAATTAAGCACACAGTGATGTCACATTGCTGAGCTGATGAATCATCTGGTTCAATCCATATCAGTATCTGCATGCAGAACATACTTCTATTTATAAAACACTAAAACTCTTTCTAATATGACTAAATAAACAGACAATACATTGATACTCATGTTATATTAATTCATCCATTGATCTAATCAAAGCAGGTCATTGACACCAATATACCGGATTGAATGGCCTCTTGTGTTGTAGATTTCTGTGGTACTTTACTGTGATGTGATTGGAACTATTACATTTTCCTTCACAGTGGGGCACAATTTGAGTCCACTTAGCTGACCTGGCTGCACATTCACCCCTACCCTTATATTTAACGATTCAGCGATGCTGCAGCAATCCTTCTTTGAAACTTGGACCCTCTTGAAAACCAGTCACCGAGTTCAGACTCGGGCCCAATCACTGTGACTGGAGGTCAGACCTACAGCCAATCATTAGTTATCATCTGGCCTCATTGGCTGCATTTATCACCACTCGTAATGAACACATTACAAGTCAATTTTCACACCTATATAATTTCAATTTTTCCTATGTTCACGCTACATCTCATGAAAAGATATTCTGCACGTTTAATACGGTTAACTGTCAATTAGAGGGTATTCATGCTTCTACAGATGTAGCGGAGCAGATAACTATTAGTATGCAAATTTTAACTCATCATTAAACACTTTGTACTTATTACCCTCTGTTTTACAGCTGTGGTTATGACTTCTTCTGTAATTCTTTCCGCAGATGCACATGTATGACCCTTTGGTGTTATTGCAGTACTGTGAGCAGGATCCAAACTGTAGGCACTCGTTGATGTCTGGAAGCAGAAAAATGGTGTTTCTCTCAAAAATAACTTCCAAGTACAGTACGATTTCTAAAACAAAGTTCTGTTTTGTCACTGGGAACTTTTAAAATTCCTGCACGATTCACTTCAATTTTGAAATTGTACAAAAAAAAACTTGCATTTGATACAGCATCTCATCACATTGTCAAAATACTTCATAGGACTTTCTGTAAAGTGTAGTGACTGTGTATGTGTAGGCAACGTGCATTTGGAACCCTGGAAGCGATGATATTGAATTGCAGCATTAAATTCATATCACTCGCAAACTGTCTACCTGCTCTAACATTTACTGATGGCCACATTTCCCATTAATTTCATTCATTCTCACAACAACAACAACAAGAATTCCATTTATAGAGCGCCTTTCACGTTGGGAGGACGTCCCAAAGCGCTGAAATTCCCGTTGTACCTTAAACACATCAAACACATCAACATTGAAAATGAACCAGACGATGAAATATTTATACGGTGAAATTATTTGATCCTTTTGCAATTTATATTCTTCTGGGCACTTTTCCCACTTAGTGTTATCATAAAACACTCCCCAAATCAAGTAAACATGTATTAAATATCACACAGATTTTCTCTCTAAACAATCCCAAGAATGTGGCTGAACCTGAAACTCAGTGGATGCACCCAACTTCACTGAAATGATATTTCTGTTTTGTGAACCTACCATCCATATTGCCCGTTGACCTCTGTGAGTAGGCTACTAATTCCATGTCAATTAGTTTGATATGAACAGCCTTGTGGTGTGCTCAGTACTTGAGCAACTCGATATAAACTGCCTGAACTCATTTCACTGTAGACCTTTACAGCCAGCAGAGAGAAGAGACATTTTTATTTCATCTCTGGATTCAAACACAGTTCCCAAAGGTGAAAAGGTGCAGTTATCTACTGTGGAATCTAGTCCCTCACAGTATTGTAGATTTAATTTCATGGCTCGCAATACCTCATCATTTTTGATTATGAACAATGCAAACTTTCGGCATAAATTGAGGAGAATCCTTCTCATGTCAGACACCAACAGCTAAATAGCATGGAAAAAAGAGACAGCTACCTTCACACTGCTTTGTGGCTTTGTTTCTCTGAAAGCCAGGCTGGCATTCACAGAAAAGTGAAGATTGTGTCCGGTTACAATAGGCATCAATCCCACAAGGATTCACATCATAACAATCAAATTCATTATAATCTGAGAAAGGAAATAGAAAGATCTTTAAAAATGACAGCAGTCCTCAAACTTTGGGTTCCTGTTTCTGAGGAAGATGCACAACGGAAGAAATCGTGGAACAAAAGAAAGACTATTTGGTTAATTAAGCCTGGACAGTCCCTAAAATCCTTACCCTGTTTAGAGAATTCACCCAATTCATTATGTCTCCCAAGGAAGGGCACCATCAAGACACTGCTTAAATCCTGAAGTCAATTGAGCAAAAGTTCCCTTATAATCTTCCATCTCTATATCTCCATATCTCCTCTCTCGCTCTTGCCACCACATAATAGTGTAATGATGTAAACAAGACATTGACACCATGCCCAGCCTCCCCCAACATAGTTCCAATCCTAGTGTATTCAGAAAGCATAACTGCTCAGTAACCACAAGTGACTACATTATATACAGTAACTAAACCAATTCTTTAAGATCATGTTGCTTTACCTATTGTATTGTTTAATACTAAATAACGTTGGCCCTTCTGATAATAATTTCAAGTTTAAAGCTGATAAAAAAAAGCATTGTGGGACAATATTCAATCCATATCCACAAAACCCATCAAGTGTCCATGGATGGGACTGCTAATCACTTACAGTAATTTAGTTTAAAATTGAAACATATTTTTATCTACATCTTAAAAATAAATGGAGCTCTGCTTTTTTAACAGGTTTGCAATTCTTGCCTCTGCTGAACGAACAGAGGTTCATGAACAAACTCTCGGCTATCACTTTTCCGATGTTTATAGCTCTGTATAAACTGGCTGGCAGTTTATTTGCGAGGTGATTGATTAGAATAAGCTGTTAAAGGGCACATAAAACTTACAATACAGCTTGGGTTTAGGGAAGTTGTGTAAAGGAGCAATTAGTAATTGCTAATGACACTTTATCCTATCTGGAATAAAATAGTATTCAATAAGATCTTTTAAACTGACATTGGTTGCTAAGGGGATGGAAAGAGAACAGACATAGAAAAGGACTAAAATTACAATGTTCAAGATTTAAGGTAGTTCAGTACAAAGATGCCAACTACCAATAAACAGATGTAAAGAGCTGCAAAACCATCACCTGATCTTCCTGTTAATGGGTTCAGAACGTCAGAAGTTTAAGATTTGAAGCACTACACTTGGTTTATAATCCTCGCGAAATAGCAGCTTCTTTTAAAGTCAGACGTTGTCAACTCGATTGAGTTGGATATGTTCTTCATAAACTTGCTCTTAGAGTTACCAATATGTATGGACTTTACCAACCCAACTGGAAATAAATGCCAGCAAGTCTAAGCAACTGTGTCACAAACACATCAATAAAACTGTCAAGCTTTCTCTCAAGGAGACCCACAAGGCTGCAGCAGACAGGGGAAATGAAGGAATGCTGCGACAATATCCAGCAGTGTCGACCCTGCACTTTCAGTTTTATATCGGCAAATACACAAGCAATTATGCCTAGGCTAGGAAATGCTTTCATTAGGACTTACTTCTAACGCAATCTTGTTCATCAGACTCATCAGCTCCACAGTCATTGAACATGTCACATTGAAGCTCGGTTGGTATGCACTTCCCATTGCTGCAAGCAAACTCATCCTTCCCACATGGTCTGTGGATTTGGTTACCTATTAGTTAAATAGACAAGAGCTCTTGCTGAATTATTGCATTAACATGCCAAAGTTCTATTGCAAATACACAAAGCGAAGGCTATTTAAAAAAGCTAAAGCAATGTCCATTTCACAGGTTGCGAAATATTTGTCTTTGACTAGCAATGGGTGATAATTACCCTGGTGAATTCACATATCTAAATGTCAGACTGGCTGTGATGCACATGGGACTGTGTTTAGTGTCGATGATAAAATGGAGTGATGTTAGTGTGGTCGAACTTCTTAAATATGAAAGTAGGGAGAGCAATAAGTCAACTGTGTGACATCAATTCATGTCACTGCAGGCTATCACTAAATGCCATGGGTTCTGTCCCAATGTCCCACAGCTGTGTTAAATACATTAAGCTGGAATCCTTTCATAACTAGCAAATGATGTTAACTCATGTCAAATAGCATTGGCAGTTGAGAACAAGTTTATATAGTTCTAATTGCTAACAGAAATGATGCACACAGAGTTTAGCACAACATGTACAGGCTGTTTCCTGGCCTGCAGCAAATTTTGTTGCCAGGCTTGAACAATATCTCCCATTATAAGAGAGCCTCAAAATGTCCATTTGATTACTTAAGATCTGTTAGGCGACAATTTTTTCAATGTTATTAAAGAGACAGGCGCACAAACAGCTCTTTAATAATGTTAAAGAAAATGAATGGCTTCCTGGAATGCCTCAGAAATGGTCGACTTCTAGGTCATCAGGTCATTGCTAGTGTGACTTCCTGTACGCTTGTGTGTTTTGCGTAAGAAGTGCAGCTGATATCACTTTGCAAAGTCAATGACATTATTCTTGCACATGGAGTGCATGTACAGCCTGCAGGAAGTGCAATATGATTGCCATGTTATTGATAGCTTTGGCTTATAGTTCAGCTCTTGAGCTGAGATGCACAGGCAGAGAACACTGAAATCTGGCATTTCAATAATCTCTGGCAATGCAATCAGAACTCTAATTCAGACTTCCTGCTTTACATATCTCCACGAATGAAAGACAGACATATCATGTTGGTTCCAGAGTACAAACATGGCACTAAATAGTTTTAAATAACAAATAAAGCTCTCTCAAAGTCAAAACACAAAATGCTGCAGATGCTTGAAATCTGAAACAAAAACAGAGAGAGCTGCGAAAACTCAGCAGGTCAGGCAGCATCTATGAAGGAAGGAAAGTGAGTCAATGTTTTGGGTCCACGACCCTTCGTCAGAACCCTTCGTGAGGTTCTGATGAAGGGTCATGGACCCGAAATGTTGACTCACTTTCCTTTCTTCATAGATGCTGCCTGACCTGCTGAGTTTTCCCACCTCTCTCTGTTTTTGTTTCTCTCATTGTCAGTCCACTTGACCAATGCAATCTGTATTCTTCTTTTCAATCTCTGATCCTGCAAAAATCCTTATGATGAAAAAAAAGCCTTGTTATTTAAAACTAGAATTGTGTACATTTGAAGACTGAATCTAATTTGCGATGATTTCTCAATGGAATTTCTCAACAGCAGCTCTAAATTGCAAATAAAATCTACTTCTATTAACGGTAAATAGGTCACATCTGTGGGAATTCTGCTCTTGAAGATGATCAAGTCAGTTAGATTTCCCGTGGGTCAGTGTGTTAAAACTTCCAGCTTTCTAAGGGAGATATTATTGCGGTTTAGAGTTGTTATTAAGGAATCTAGTTGGACATTGTTACAGTTGAGACCTCACAAGATTGCAAGATTGGTTTGGATGAAGGCAGCCCTTTGGCTCATTTGATTTCATTCTCCCATCACAGAATCATTTTCATAAATAAATGAGTCCAGTGTCCTAGTCTTGATCACCCGTCCTGGCAACCAGTTTCAATTATTAATTACCCTCTGGGTAAAGAAAAAGTTCCTGAACTTGCCCTTTGCAACTCTAAATCTACTCATTGCTTCTTGGACTGTTCTTCATTATGTTTGTCAACAACAACAACAACAACAAGATTCCATTTATTGAGCGCCTTTCACGTCGGGAGGACGTCCCAAGGCGCTGTACAGTTGGGTCAGGACCCGAGCAAGATAATGTCCCCATTATCTCAAATAATTGTTGATTAAACAGTTAGATTGATGCACGAGGAAGGTAGCAGGATTAAATGCAATCTTTTAATTGCAGGTGCAAATGATTCCTCTGCTCATCTATTCGCTCCCTCTTGAAAACAATTTGCAAGTGTTGATTTGCGATTCATTTGGTAATTGATCCTTTCTTGGCTGTTTGAAACATGCAAAACATTAAGTGCCTAGATTAACACAAGTATGATTCAGAAAAGCATGGATACACTTACCACAATCCATTTCATCCGAGTTGTCCCCGCAGTTATCGATTTCATCACAAATACGTTCCGGTCGCAGGCACACTCTGTTGTTTTTACACCTGAATGCTCTTGTAGGTGGGCACTCAAACTTTACTTTTAAAAAAATAACAAAAGGTTATCATTACAGCCTCACAATGGAGATAAATTCAAGGATGTGCTTCAATCACTTTAAAGAAAAAAACAACAAAATTACATTTGTAAAGCTCTTTTCACATCAGGAGGATGGTCCAAGGTGCTGAACCGTCAATGATCGGGATGCGAGCTTGGGGCGCAGGATTGGGATGAGGGAGAGCAGAGAGGGAAGGAGAGCGGCTGAAGCCACGGTCAAAAAGGAGGGTCTTGAGTCGTGCCTTGAAGGAGGTAAGAGAGGGAGCAAGGCCAAGGGACTGTGGGATGGAGTTCCAAAGAGTGGGGGCATAGAGGCTGAAAGTCCAGCCGCCGATGGTAGTGCGGGTTGGGCAGGAGACCTGGAGAAGGCCGGAGCCTGCTGAGCGGAGGGAGTGAACAGATTGATAGGGAGTCAGCAGGTCAGAGATGTAGGAGGGGCAAGGCCTTGGAGGGCCTTGAAAGTGAGGCCGTGGATTTTGAATTCTATCCTCTGAGGGATGGGGAGCCAGTGGAGCCGGTGAGGGTGGGGGTCACAGAGCTTGTTGTGGGAGAGGACACAAGTTGCAGAGTTCAGGATGATCTGCAGCTTGTGGAGGGAAGAGTTGGGGAGGCCGACAAGGAGGGAGTTTCCGTAGTCGAGCCTTGAAGTGCCGAATACATGTACGAGGGTTTCGGAGGCCTGAGGGGTGAGGCAGTGGTGGAGTCGGGCAATGTTGCGGAGATGGGGGAAGGCAGAGCAGGTCATGGCCTGGATATGGGGGAGAAAGGACAGTTGAAAGTCGAACAAGACACCCAGGTTCCTAACATGGCCAACATACCACACGTTTCAGGGTTTTCGTCAGAATTGTCTCCACAATCATCTTCACCATCACACAGCCAAGATAGAAGCTTGCAAAGCGTATTGTTGCACTGAAACTCATCTACATTGCAGATTGTTTTCACTGGAAGATATAAGTATTGAACAACTATATCTTATATATATTCTCAATTTTTTAAAACAAGGGAGTTTTGTCTCAATGTACTGGCCAACAATTCCCCTAGCTACTTTACGGCTGTGTGAGGGGTATTGCTGTATGCAAACCAAAATTGGCTGCTTCATTTGCTGACAAATACACAGTCACCAAACTTTATGGAAATCTCTATGAAGTGCTTCAAGATGTTTTGAAGTGATAAGGTGCTGAATCAAATGCAAGGATTATTATTATGATTATATATAGGGTCATCAATTTTAAAGCAAATTGCTCAGTAATACAAGTGTTCTTATACATATTCAAAAACCTGGCTTTTTTGGAGCTATTTGAATTTTTCCCCAAATCCATGTAATACTTTATCTTCGGGGGTTTGCTCTACTAAGTCAGCTTTTTAAATCTTGCATGTAGCGCTGCATCTGTCAGGAACTCAATGAGATGTAGGGTCCAGCATACTCAGAACTTTCAGTCTGCCTGCTTAGACAAAGATTTAAGTGGCTTTGCCTCAGGTTAATTTCAGATACCTGAAGGGGATGCACACAACTGGTACTATAAAGGAATCTCTGTGACAAATGCATTCCTCGAGTGATAGTTCCACTTATAAAATGAGCACATACTAGCATTTGCTTTGCTGGGTCAATGCAGCTCTTGTATTCCCTGCCTACAATGAGGATGCCTTTTGGAAAATGTGCCATGACTGTTGGTATCTCCTGCCACAAATAAAATCAGTCTTTCGATCACATTTATATCTGGAAATAAAGATAGATTTTGAGTTGTATTCCATTGGGCCAAACTAATGGTGTGCTATTTAAGGTTCCTCTTTCTTTTGATATCAGTGGTGGGTCTTCTTCCTAGATATAAACCAGGTTTACTTCTTGCCCTTTCTCTTACCAAGGCTTTCAAGTCATCCCTTAAACAACTGAATAACAAGAGGACTTGCAGATTTATTAAAGATACACTGCGCCTGAACTTTCAACTAGTCTTAGTTTGTAAGACCATTTTGCTTTAGTATTTCTATGGACCAAATTTAAGATTTTTCCACAAATCTGAACCATCTTACACGATGAGGCAAAAATAGCTTAAGTTCTGGTCCTCTCATGTTACAGGCATAATGTTGGCACCAATATTTGTGAACCAATATTTCAAACGATCTTAATTAGAAACTCAGCGCAGAAGTGCTCTAAAAATATATAAAATCACTTATAAATGTAATTTAATCTTTACACTTGATTTTTGCCTTTGACATCAGGAGGATGTCTCAAAGGGCTTCACCGGATATGCAGCTAAGTGTAATGACTATGTATTTTGTAGCTTTGCCTCGCTATTGAACACGGTGCCATTCTGACTGCAGCTTGCAAAATATGAACCTAATTTCTTGTCTGTGTCTGCGGTTCACATTATTTCTAATGATAAAATTGTGTAGTAATTTTGGAAAAATACATATTTTTTGTAAAACACGATTATACAATCATGTTGGCTCTAAAAAAAAATTGCTTTTGCATCAATCTAAAAGTTATGAGCTCAAGGCATTTGTGCAAGGGTGAAGTGAATGCAAAATCAGTTCGCCTGTGTTTTAGCATTTTACGAACGCTTCAGTGCCTTGTGCGCTTGTTTCTCTCAGTCAGTCATTGCTGCTGTGCGTCTCCAGCTAGGAGAGCATGTGTGGAACAATGGATCACTTTACAGATGTGCCAACAATCTGCTAGATTAAAGCGGCGGCTCTGTGTGGAGGGCTTTACGGGAAATGGCAACCGCCTCTCTGTACCACCCGCTGTCACCCTCTCCCTTCCCTCCATCATTCTGGCCAATGATCAGTGTTACTTTCCCAGGGACTGTGATGATGAGCTGTGCATCCCAACTGAAGCATGCTGAAATGTTTCAGGTATTCAGTGCACCACTCAAAACATCCAGCTCTGAAGAGACTTCAAAGCTGTGATCATAAGACTAGCTACCATATGGCAATGGAATTCACTGAGCGTAAGATGTTGATGGTTGCTTATGAAATCCTGAATAAACAAATGCTCATTAACATAGCGGCACCTTCTGCTTTTAGCATAGACTGTTCTGTAAAACTGAAAGAGAAGATAATAAAAATGTAGTAATTAAAACGATATCCCTGTTACCTTCATTGCAGCTTTCTTCATCACTGCCATCCAGACAGTCAGCCTCGCTGTCACAGTGCCATCTGATAGGAATACAGTGCCCGTGCTTACACTGGAACTGATCTTCTTTACATGTAATTACACAGTCCTTCTGTTAATAGAAATCACATGCAAGATTTAATTTAATCATGTATGTCACTCATGGCATATGGATAATTAAAAAAGGAGTCACAAATTACAAAGGTGCGTTGTTAATCATCTGTGGTGATGGGTTTTCGCTTGTGTCAGACACCAGACTAACCAAAAAAAACTGTAGCAAATTCTGAAGAAGCCCCAAATCCAAGTCTCTTCCTTTGTTTCCTCTGAAGGAATGTTGCCAAGTACAATTTGCCAGTGCCATTAGGTAAGGATAAAGATAAAACACGACACGAGTGAAATAGACAAAGCGGTTTACAAAACTATGCAAAATGTAATTCACCCCTTAAACAGAGTTACATTGAATCAAAAGGCACGTAAACAGGCCATTTGGCTAAACTAACCTGTGCTGTTATTTATATTGAACACAAGCCCCCACTCCTCCTATTCCCCTTCACATGCAGGTCAACTGAATCTCCAATTTATACATTTTCATATTGTGCATTTGCAACATTGCCACTGAATACAAATCATTTCAGAATAGATCATCAGAATTAGCTTTGGCACTTTATAATCCAAAATCAATAAAACAAACACAATTGTAAATACAAATAAATTAGTTTAAAATGGTCCCTGCACTCACATAACATCACTTTTTTCTCTTGTATGTTCTTTCACTGCCTGCTTGTAAGTTTCTACATCTTTTCTAACCATAATACTTTTATTCTCCTTTTTTCCAGACCTACCATCAATTTTGATATTAATAGGGTAAGAGAAATGTCAAATTTTAGCTGGAACGTTTTCAGAATATTCTACATGTATGAAAAAAGACATTTCAGAAAAATTTGGTGTGCTAACATATTTCAAATAACCCTGTAAAATCACCCCCAACAATAGAAGTCTTTTGCTATTTCGAAATGAGCTAGGTCAGAATAAAATGTGAAAAAATATTTTGAATTTTTTCAAAACAAATTCTTAAATAAAAAGCTGGACTGTTTTGCTTTAGTCGACGAAAACTCTTAATGGCTTTTAATGGTTGATGTGTATTAATAGGATTAAATTAGTGTAGATGTTCAGAAAATACAGAAGATGGCACCCTGGAGCCAGTAAAACAAGGAAAGGAAGAAAAATCATCGGGCAACAGTGGAATAGGATACCACACAATGTATATTGGTTATTTGATATTGACACCACCCTTCTATTATACGCAGAAAAACACCACCAATTACTCTTCTATGAAAGACAGTAAATATCCATCAAATGCAATCTTCCTCATGGACGGTAGCTTCAGACAATGAATATCAGAAGAGAAAGTATTTGAAAAAGCCAGAGTCAGAACTCATGTTATTTTCATGCTCACCCTTATCAAAAAAAGCACAACAAATTACATTTGTACAGGGCCTTTCACATCAGGAGGATGTCTCAAGGCACTGGACAGTCAATGATTTGAAGCTGAGCATGGTGGGGGGGGGGTGGAGGGCAGGGTGGGTAAGGGTAGGAGGGTGGACGAATGCACGGTCGAAGAAGAGGGTCTTGAGACGTGCTTTGAAGGAGGCAAGAGAGGGAGTAAGACAAGGAGAGGCTGAAGGCTTGACCGCCGATAGTGGTCAAACAGGCCAAACAGGGGACCTGGAGCCTGCTGAGCAAAGGGAGTGGACAGATTGATATGGGTTCAGAAGATTTCTCTGAGATTGAGTGAGATAGATAGAGGTAGGGAGGGGTAAGGCTGTGGAGGGCCTTGAAGGCAAGGACGAGGATTTTGAACTCTATCCTCTGAGGATATGGTTTTCAAGTTGCATTTGTGTTACTTGTCAATAAACCTATCAAAGGAGAAATCTTTTGAATAAATTCTTGTTTAAAAAAACTGTTGCTGCATTCAATACAAGACTTGAAGAAATGCACTTGCTTCGCATTCCATATTGAAAAATAATCACTCCTTATGTTTGATTACTGATTTCTCAGCCTATTTATAATTTTTATAATGTTGTACTTTTTAAAATTATTTTTCAACAATTCTGAATCTTTTCTTTTTTTCCAGCCCTACTGTTGATTTTGATATTAATAGTCTTCAAGAAAAGTCAAATATCAACATAGCTTTAACACTTCTTTTCACATAGCAGAAAATGTCTTTTGTTTCAAGAACAAATGAGGTAGATTTACACTGGAAAATAGTGTCTTGGGATACAGTACGTATATAGTTTGGGACACATGTCAAGCGACTACCAGGATGGTGAAAGGGGAACTAGATGGACCTTGGTTTTCTTTCGCTAGAAAATTCTTATGTTCTTATAGCCAGAACATTTTCCAAATATTCTACATGGGTCAAGAAGGTGATGTAACACTGCTTTCATGTTTCATTGGCCTCTCAGGATCAAGTGGCTTATCCACAGTGGGGGAGGAGAAAAGAGGGCGATATCACAGGTGATTCCAACGCATCCCTCACACAATGTCCATTAGCACACCTGCAACAGGAGTTCCTAGACAGGAGAGGAAATCCTTCCCAATTTTTTCTTCCCTATCCCAAGATGCTGAGACCACATGGCACAACACCCTTAGTCTAGCCAAGGCTGAGATTAGTTAACTCAACATGTAGCGGGCATCAAATTCCCAATCTTCATCACTCAGTTACTCACTGAATAAATTTGCTGGTTCACCGAGGGAACCAGGCCCTGTATTTTTGAAGCTTGATCTCTTTTCTTCTAAGAAAACTTGCAAACATTATAAACGATTATCACATCAGTGTTCAAAATGCATAACACATTAATAAATAAATTATCCCTCTCTCCACGCCTTCAAAACCCGCCAAAAGACATCAATAAATAAATAATCTGTTTCGACCAATTTCCCCACCACACCCTTCCCCCAACTCAGTTTGGGCTTCCACTCAGCTGTATTAATCGTTCTGAGATATCCTTCCTATTTGAAAGGTGCTCTACAATCTGTGGAGTCCTGTCGTATATTGGTTAGATCACTCGTCTCGCAAGCAAGAGGAGTTGAGGTTTGATTCCCGGGTAGGGCCAAACAGTGGCAAAAACAAAACAACAACAAAATTACATTTGTATAGATGGGGAGACGGGGGTTGGGGTGGGGGAGGGTGGAGGACGGGGGGGGAATCCAGGGAAACCAAAAGCATGGTCTTGAGGAGGGTCTTGAGGTGGGTCTTGAAGGTGGCGAGGGAGGGAGCGAGACGGAGGGACTGCAGGATGGAGTTCCAGAGGGTGGGTGCAGAGTGGCGGAAGGCCAGCCTGCTGATAGTGGGGTGAGCAAGGCTAGGGACGTGACGCTGAGCGAAGGGAGCAAACAGGATGGTAGGGAGTTAGGAGGTCGGAGAGGTAGGGGGGAGCAAGACTGTGGAGGGCTTTGAAGGTGAGGACCAGGATCTTGAACTGTATCCTCTGTGTGATGGGAAGCCAGATGGAGTTGGGCAAGGATGAGGGTGATAGGGTCGCAAAGCCTAGTGCGGGAGAGGACATGGGCTGCAGAGTTCTGGATGATCTGCAGCCTGTGGAGGGAGGAGTTGGGGAGGCCGACAAGCAATGAGTTTGCATAGTCGAGCCTCGATGTAATGAAAGTATGCATGAGGTTTTCGGTGGCCTGCGGTGTGAGATAGAGTTGGAGCCGGGCAAAGTTGCGGAGGTGGGGGAAGGCAGAGCGGGTCATGGTGCAGATGTGGGGTAGAAAGGATAGTTGAGGGTCAAACAAGTCTCCAAGGTTCCAGACTAGCTTAGCAAGGTGGAGTGTACAACCATGGGTGGTGATGCTGTCAGCGCCTGAGGTGAGGAGGCGCTGACGGGAGCCAATCAGGATAATAATAGGTAAGTTTTCTTACCTAGCAGTAAGTAGGAAACCGGATGTTAGTCGATTGGTGGATCGCTTTTCCACAGGCAATAATTCAAAAAAATAAGTACAAATAATTTGGTTCCTCAATCCACCACTGTTTGTGGTACCCTGCTGTGCTAAATTGCCTATACAATGTACAGTTAACTAACTTTACAGTCTATTTTGTGAAACACTTTGAGACGTTGCAAAGATGTGATAAGACGCTATATCAAATGCAAGGATAATAATAATAATAATAATCCTTGCATTTGATATAGCGCTTTTCACGTCGGGAGGACGTCCCAAAGCGCTTCACAGAACACACTGTAAAGTGAATTGACTGTATATTTGTGGGCGAACGCGGCAGCCAATTGCGCACAGCAATGTCCCACAAACAGTCGTAGATTGAAAATGACCAATTTAATTATTGTTTTTTTTTTGGAGGGATTATTATTAGGCGTGTGGAGTAAGGAAACTTGCCCAAGGTTTCGCCCTGCCTGGAATTTATTATTATTACAATATAAATCATTGGTATAGATAATAATAATTCTTGCATTTGATACAGTGTCTTATTATGTCTTCAAGACATCTCAAAGTGCTTCACAGAATATACTGTAAAGTGAATTGACTGTATATTTTGTGGGTGAAACACAGCAGCCAATTGCACACAGCAGTGTCCCACAAACACTCCTGGATTGAAGTGACCCATTTATTATTATTATTTTTTTGAAGGACTTATTATGCCCGGAAAAGCCAATCAATTAACAACCGGGTTGCTACTCACTGCTAGATAAACAGAAACGTGTGGAGTAAGGAAACATCCCTAACATTTCACCCTGCCGGGAATCAAAACCAGGTCTCTAGCTTGCGAGGCGAGTGCTCGAACCACTGAGCTACAGGACTCCACGTCTTATGTACTTACTTCATCTGAGCCATCGGAACAGTCGTGATCTCCATCACATCTCCACCTGGCAGCCACACAGCGTCCATTGGCACAGGTAAACTCATTCATAGAACAGGAGCGAATTGCTAATATTTCACAAAAATAAGTATAAGAATGCATTTAATGAGGAACAATTTTACTTAATTACACAACCGGTTCCATTTAATCGCTGTCTGTACCGCTTTAATTACACAAGAGTAAATAATTAATTTAATGTTCTTATTTTATTTGGGTTTTAATTTAATTTTAAAAAAAGAAATTCCAGTGTCAATTTTTTTATTTTAACTGGACGTGGGACTGTCACACCAGCATTAACAATTAAATCTCAAATTATATGGTTTCAGCAAAGTGAGTGAGAATCAAATTTAAAAGGAACTTAAAAATGTTGATCAATGCTGACAGTGCCAAACGGCTAGATTAATATGTAAATACTGTAATATAAATTGTTGCTCAATTTAGCAGATCTAGTGTTGCAGGATGTCTGTTAAGCAATTTATTGGCTAGGAGACTGGTATCTCATAAAACAGAACCATAAAGCTTATAAGCATAGACACATTTTGGCTCATTGTGTGTGTTGTTGCTGCCTTTTCCACTGAAACTATCTACTCCAAACCTATTCCCTGTTCCTCCCCCAACACACTATTATTTTCCCGCAATTATATACCTAATTGACCTTTAAATGCGGTGTTGGATTTTTTTTATGGTTAAGACCTATGAATTTGAACCACATTCAAAAATAACAAAATCTTCTAACGTTCCTCTTTGTCATGTGTCTATGTTCAAAAGTTCTGTTTCTTAATTTTATGGCAGGAATCTACAGATATATATGAGTGGTTTATTGGCATTCTAACATGCTGTCTAACAGCTGTGAATCTGCCTGAGTGTTCTCAAACTCATGGTGTGACATCCAGTGACATTGGATTGCCCGCGCCCTCAATTGTCATTACTAATGCCAATTGTAGCTGGAGGGAACAGGCCTAAGAAAGTGCACACATTTCCCCAAACATGACTATGTGAGAACAGTCAAAGAGGGCAAATATAACCAGCAACGCACTGCCTTCCATATTTAACATAGAAATAGACATTTTCAGCACATGAAAAGGCCATTCAACCCATTGGGTCTTTATTTCATACTTTCAAAATGACATTGATTTTTTCATGTTGCTACATTTGGATCAATCAGGCCCATAAGTATTAATGCATTTATTACATTATCTCAGACATACACCCACCTAGCTTGGCACCATCAGAACATTTTAAATTTCTGACTCTTGTCTGTCTTTAAGTGCTGCCTCACTGAAATTGCTAGATTAGTGCCAAATAGCATTGAATCAGAGGGTAGTTTTGTGTCACATTGACAAATTGGATTAAAACTCATATCAGTCCTAACCGAGCTGCCAGAACTGGGAAAATGTTAGGAATAAGATTCCTGATCAGAAAGGCTAAAGGCAGATTGCAGACCCATTTAAATATTTAGAAGACACGAATATCAGAAACTCCATGCCACATGGTCTAGTGATGGCCTTACCACATGTCTCCTCATCAGAATTGTCTCCACAGTCATTGTCGTAATCACACTGCCAGTGTCCAGGAATACAGCGATTGTTTTTACACCGGAACTGATAAGGTTCACAAGTTCTTTCATCTGAAAAACATTCAAATGGGCTGATATTTTATTTTATTTTATTTCCTCCTCAGTAAAGGTGAGGATTATTGAGTGCTGAAACACATTTGTGCATGGTTCACCTTTAAATTGAAATAAACCGAATCAGCTTTTTAAAAAAAAACACATTAGAAACAGACCTGCACTGGACACCAAATATCTGTCAACTGTCAGATATTGGTTGGTGTATTTCAGGTGGGATCTGATATCTTTAGCCATTGAGAAAAGCAGATATCAGTAACAGATTACAATTGAACTGCACAGTTGGCTTCAAAAGCAATGTCAACACCAGTCCCTTGGTTCAAATTCACTATTTACATTGTTAATAAGAGTCGAACCCTAACATTATCTCTGGGACAATGCTGTAACAAGATAGTCTCTTTTTGCATTCAAACAACAGCAAAAAATCCCAAGAACTAGAAAGCTTTGTAACTGAAAATGTCTGCGCTTCAAAAATATACTTTCTTGGTTTTAATAAAACGCTGCTGCCATCATTAGCCCTGAAATCTATGGAAAAAATAAAAGCAAGGCATAGAATCGGCATCCGATTTGGTGTAAGTTCAAATTGCTTTCACTATCATGCTAACAAATCTTCCACCCCACCCCCATCAAGTTGCCTTTTTTCCGTATTTAATTATTTATAGCATATTCCTATACTTCAATCTTCTGGTTATTCAACACAAAAACGTGTCCATGGATTGTATACTTTCAGCAAGCAAACAGAGATTATTTATTGCATTATCTCTTTGGCATTTAGTTCCCCTCAAAGCTCCAGAATTTATCGTGCTTTTCTGATGCATTATTTATCAATTGATCCCCAGAATCAAATTTCTGAATTAATTCAACGTCACTGATAATCAAAAGGAAATTTCATTCAGAACATTGGGCTTTCCAGTTTTAATGTCAGCATCTTTGCAACAAGGTAGCTTTTGAATCTTGTGGTGCACAGGGGCTTGAAAATCATCTGCTCCCAATATGATGACAGGAATTACTAGTTTTTTTATTATGAACGTCCACAATGAAAATGAAATATTGTAGTTGAAGTGAGGCGAAGTGAAAATAATTGTGCAATCATCCAAACCAGTAGATGTATAAAGCCCATTAGTGCTTCCCCAATACTGAAAAGCGACAAACTTGTAAGCAAGGACAGAAAACAATCTATAGTGCATTTATGTCATTTGTGCCATTCAAGTTTGCAATCTATGCACAAGCTCAAATTTCTAGACAGCTACTGTATCTAAATAAGACACAGCATTGTGGTCATGATGCTGTAAGAACAGCTTTATTTTCAATGAGTGCGATGAGCATGAAGTTTGACATTAATTCAAAAATTGGTGAATATTGCAGTCAAACTACATTGAGAATTCATCAGATAAGCTGAAAACAAACTGTTCTCCTTGAGCTTCAGGCCTTTGTTCCCATTTGTTAGACTGGCATTTGAAATGCAGCAAATGGCTAACTGTTGGCAGGCCTGAAGTATATCATAACCCTATTGATGGTTGCTGGTGGAAACAATGTTTGTCTTCACAGAAGCGGTGTCAAATTGGAAACAAGCAGAAGACAGACTAAGGCATACATTGTGTATCTGCATGAGGTCTTCCAGGAACCCGTAAAGGATCTGCATGTCTTTGTTTTGCTATCACATATCAGAAAAGTGTTATTTGTATTTCCACTGACAATAGAGATGAGCTTCATAGACAACCCTGCTTAGGTTATTCAAGTTATTCAAGATCCTCATCCTCACCTACAAGGCCATTCTACCTCTCCTACCTCTCCGACCTACTATCCCCCTACTTACCTGCCCGTACCCTCCGTTCCTCTGGCTCCGGTCTGCTCCACATCCCCCGCTCCAACCGCCCTACCATCGGTGGCCGGGCCTTTAGCCTCTTAGCCCCCTGGCTCTGGAACTCCATCCCCCAGTGCCTTCGCCGCTTCCTCCCTTTCCTCCTTCAAGGCCGGTCTCAAGATCTTTCTCTTTGACTGTGCCTTCAGCTCCCCTCTTGACTCTCTACCCCCTCCTCGCTCCCTCCCTTCCCTCCCCTCACCCTGACCATTTCCCCCCTGCTTGGGTCCTGATCCAACTGAACAGCGCCTTGGGACGTCCTCCTGATGTGAAAGGCGCTCTATAAATGGAATCTTGTTGTTGTTGTTATCTGAAGTAGACTGCCAGATCACACTTTTTATTACATATCAAGATTCTGATCACATGGAGGATTCACAGTGAGAGGCACAGATGTCGGGTATCTTTTTCTATGTGAAGGCACAAGAAGGAAACTGTAAGAGCACAGTCTGTTAGCTGTGCATGGATTTCTTAATAAACCAGCTTCCTCTCATGAATGTATTTTCACCCTCAGTAAAGCATCAAGTTTTTATATCCTTCCCCAAAGATGCCATGAGAAAAACTTCCAACCTGAAAGGAATTGTATTGACCCGTGTGTGAACAGCCTGGAAAAGCTCTATGAATCTTATCCCCTATAGCCTCCTTCAAGTCCCGCCTCAAGACCCTCCTCTTAGACCATGCCATCGGTCACCCCCCTTCCCCTCCCCTCCCTTTCCCCCCCAACCCCAGCACGGGTCTGAAATGCTGTACTCTGTCCAGCGCCTTGGGATGTCCTCTCGACGTGAAAGGCGCTATACAAATGTAATCTTGTTGTTGTTGTATATGCAACATCAATGAGTCCAGGAAGCACTTTTCTCAGTTGCTATCATTCTAATTCCCTCAGGTTTAAAACATAAAGGGAAGAATGTTAGGGAAACCTCAATAATTTAGCATTTTACTGAAGTCCGAGCCTATTTACTGTGTGGAATTCCATGCTTAAACAAAATTGGAATGACTTGTTTTTAAATTTCTTTCCAAGGTGCAATGCTGTTCTGAAGGACATTAAAGATCCCATGGCAGTACTTGAAAAGAGAAGGAAGTTTCTTCAGAAACTCAAATTTGACAGAAAGCAGCCTGATCAATCTGTCTAGTTAGATGATTTCTGCATAGGTGTCAGCTTGGCTCAGTGGTGTCCTCTGAGTCTGAAGAGTGTTGATAAATTTAACCTCTGTGGTCATTATCCAGACTGACAACATCCAATGCAGTGCTGGGGGGCATTGGATTGTTAGAGGTCCTTCGGATGAGACATTAAACCAACGTCTCACCTGCCTAAGAAGGGGTGTATCATGTGTGCATCTAGCTGACCACTGAAAGATTGACTGAGGCAGTTCCCTTGGAGATAAAAATAAGAAAAGTGTTGAAGTAAAATGATTCTTTTGTTCGAGACAGAATGAGCTGGAAATGAAGGATTTTGATGAGCAGCTGAGACAAGCGTACTTTAATTGAATTCACTGTGCCAGATGACTCTGATGTAATGGATTTGATGTCTAGGATTTCCATCTGTGGCACTATTCACAAAACTGAAAAGATTAAAGATGGATATGCATTGGCCTCCAGAATATATGGTCACTATAGCGAAATCCTGTGAAGTGCTTTCAGATATCCTCCCAGTATGAAAGGCATTAGACCAAATGCAAGAATGTTTATTTTCTACAATTTCAGTAATAGTGGGTTATTTTTGAAAGCATTTGAACATTTTCCCTTGCATAATTCACATTTTTGTCGCTACTTCATGTTGACTACAAAATGCACTTTTTTTAAGGAGTTTAATTTCTGACATCCAAGAGATTCAAAAGTGAATCACTCCATGGTGCTTAGAAAATGCAACTATCTAGTGAAGATTTTTTTTTTCTGCAATGAGCAATACAAACTGCAGACAATATTTCACTTCATTACAGATGTTCAGAGATATGACATCGCGATGAAAGAAAATAAGTTTCCCCACAAATAAGAAAAGATGTCATCATGTAACCAACGCAAAAAACAATGCAACGTCTAGATATTGTGTAATTTATATATATTGTGCTGGAATTGTCATGGGCTGTCACAAAATATTATTTATACTTCCTCAAGTAATAAAATGAAAACTGATAAGGAGATTTAGTGCACTTGAGCTGGGTATCATCTGTGAAAATACATTTCTACCACTTTTATAGCTTCCTATGGCTTCTTGTTTTTATGATTTTACCAAAGGAAAATATCAATGGCAAGCTATGTGGTTTTAGATGGTTAGACTCCAGCAGTTACCCCAATGCAAACTCTTGGGTCCCTAAGCCTTGGCTCTTGCTGCCCTGCGCCTAATACTATCCAAAATTAGGTAAGCAGGAAGCATCCCTCCAGGGAGAGAGTGCACCTTCCACTCTAACAATCTATCTCTGGGATTTCCATGTGTAGGTGGGATGCAGGGAAATCTCAGCTTGATTTGGATACTCTTAAGCATGGTGATGGGTTTCCGTATGTGTCAGACACCTGGTTGACCAAAAAAAAAAAAAAAAAACACCCCCAGAAACACCACAATTATTGAAACCTGAAGAACGCGACATAGTTCAATGTGCACAATGCTTAATTCTTTTCCATGAACATATTTTTTCCTGTGTCTGCTGGCAAGGCCGAGTGTGACTTGTCACTTCACTGCCAGTATCTATCATAGAGGGGCAAGACTGGTTAGTTGGTCACACTTGTGAGACTGAGTCAGAAGGTTGTAAGTTTAAGACAGGTTGGGAATTTCAGCATATAGTCCAGGCTGACACTCCAGTGAAGTGCCTGGGGAAGCACTGCATTGTGAAAGGTTCTGTCTTTTAAGTGAAATTTAAATCAAGGTCCTGTCTTCCTGTTCAAATGGACATTCCCAATTGGTGTCCTGACCACAAATTTCCCAGATAAGATTGGTCATTCATTTCATGGATATGTGTGCAACATTGCTGCGTCCAAATTAGCTGTCATGTTCACATACAAAATCCAGTGACAACACATTACAACATACCTTGTGAAACATTTAAGATGTTTCAATGAGGTAATAAGGTGCTATGTCAAAGGCAAGTTTTATTATTATTATAATTGTATTTTACAGATTGTTCCCTTTGCAGTAATATTAGTTATAGAT